TCAATGAGAGAGAAACACACGGTTGCCTCTTGCACGAGCCCAGACCAGAGCCTGGCCCAGGGAGGAGCCTGCAACCAAGGTATGTGCCCCTGACTGAAATCAAACTCAGGACCCTTTGGTCCGCAGGCTGGCGCTCTATCCACTGAGCCAAACCAACTAGGGCAAGAATAGAATTTAGAGCTGTTCTAACTGGAAGGTTTTTAAATTGCTGGTAACTTGCTGACCTAAACAGGAATAGCTGTCCTTTATGTAACATATTTTACATACCAGGTGCCATTCTTAGTGCTTTATATTGTTCACTAATCTAATTCTCATAGAAATCCAGTGACTCATGAACTGTTATTATCATTTTACAGCTGAGAAAACTCAAGATTAAGTGATGTGCACAGGGTCCCGCCATTAGTAATGGCAGAATGAGGAATCAGACCCTAGTAGTTCAGTTCCAGATGTCGTGCCTTTGACAAGTATTATTTACAATATGATTTCTGGGACATATGTAATAAAGCTATGAAATGTCACAGAAGTCAAGTTGCCTTGGCCTCTGTGCTCACAAGAAATCCCAGATAGATAAGAGGTGTTGGACCCTGCTTTGCACTAAGCCTTATGCAAAGAAGTCTGCAAGCTGCATGCCATGACCCAACAAAAGCAAATAGTGAGAACATAGGCCTCTAACACACAGGGCCTGAGAAGGAAGATTGAGGGCCCAGCATAACAAGACCTGCCAGTGGACTTTGATAAATTAAACTTCCTGAAGCAATTTAGAGGACAAGAATTTATTGCTTCAAAGAATGTCGATTACGTACATTGTGGGTATAAAAGGATTGTAAAAGGATTACCTGTGCTTCCAGTAATGGGTACACATTGGAGATCCAGTCCTATTGGAGGAACTTTGAACTGAGCAGAGGGGCTTGACAGTTTGTTTCTCCATGGTTTCAGAACTTTTCCCATCCCACAGGAAAGTATTACTACCACCACCAACTATTATCACTGCCATTTATTAATTATTTACCGGCACCTTACCTTAGTTAATGTGCATAGTATTTCTATAATTATGATCACCATGCTCTATTCATATTGGAGAAATCTGAGATTCAGAAAGGTTAAGTGAGCCCTAGCTGGTTTTTCTCAGTGGATAGAGCCAAAATGTTTAGCAATTTGCTTATAAAGCTGAAGGGACTCAGGTTTGATTTTATTCTAGTCAAGGGCATGTACCTCAGTTGCAGGCATGATCCTGACCCAGTACGGGTGCCAGTTCGCCAGTCAATGTGTCTCTCTCACCTTAATGTTTCTCTCTTTGTCTCTCTTCCTCCCATCCACTCTCTAAAAATCAAAAGAAAAATATCCTTTGGTAAGAATTAACAACAGCAAAAAAGGAAGTTAAGTGACCTGACCAATATTACAGCTAAGAAGTGTGGGACAGCCAGCTGGGTTTTAACCTGGGACTTTCTGACTCCAAAGCCATACACATATTTTATTTTTTATTGAAAGTTTTATTGAAGAACACAAATCATAGAGTGAATGTACCCATGTAGCCACCGACAGGTCAGGAAATAGAACATTGCCAGCTGTCAAAAGCCCATTTTGCTCCTTCCCAATCCTACCCATTATCTCCACAAGGCGAGTCACTATCTGTGCCAGTGTGATCAGAGATTACCTTTTGCCTATTTTAGAATTCTATTTTAATGGAACTAGGAAGTATGTGCTCTACAGAGTTTGGCTTCTGTTGTTTATGAGATTCACTTACATTTTGTACATAAGCAGTGGTTCATTAATTATCATCATTATGTAGTGTATGTTTCATAACTATATCACAATTTATTAATTTACTATTGATGGGCATTTGGTTGTTTATCAGGTTTAGCAATTTTTAATAAGGCTGCCATGACCATTTTTGCAAAATATCTTTTGGTACATTATTATGATTTATGATGGATATATACCTAGGGTGGAAATGGTGAGTGGTATACTTTATCTGAGTTCACATTTAATGTAAATTGGCAAATCGTTTTCAAAAATGGCCAAACAAATATATACTATCACCAGCAATGTATGAGTATTAAGTTACTCTACATTCTTGCTGTCATTTGGCATTGTCAATCTTTCTCATTTTAGCCATTCTGGTGGGTATATTGTGGTATCTTATTTTGGCTTTGCTTTGCTTTTCCTTAATAATTAACAAGGGTGAGCACTTTTTAAAGTATATATTTTCTACTGATGTGTGCTTTTCCCCATATATATGTATATTTGGATTTCTGAACTTTTTGTTCAGTTCCAAAAGTATTTTTGTCTATCCTTATGCTAAGAGTATGTTCTTTTATTTTGATTAATAATTTTTGATATCTACTACTTTATATCTTCCAATTTTGTTATTGTTTTTCAAATTGTTATGACTGTTCTTGGGTATCCGTATCCTTATAACTGTAAGAATTCTAGAGTCAGCTTGTCAATTTTTATAAATTTAAAAAATATTGATTAGGCTATCATTGAACCTGATCAATTTGAATAGATTCATATCATAAAAAATTTAGCTTTCTCATTCATAATTGGAGCAGATTTTATTAATTAGATTAGAAGTTAGTTAGATTTTATTAATATGTTCTACTTTCCTGTATAGAGATCGTACATATTTTGGTAGCTATAATCTGATATAATTGATGTCTTTAGTACTTTATAAAATGATAGCCATTTCTAAAATTTCATTTTTAATTGTTTGATGCTGAGATATAGAAACACGATTGAATTTGCTTATTGACCTTGTATTTAGTGAAATGCTTAAAAATCACTTGAACAGCACAGGTTAGGGGCACTGACTCCCCTACACCGTAAAAAAACAGGATATAATGTGTGACTCCCCCAAAACTTAACTACTAGGAGACTGGTGTTGATTGGAAGCCTTCCTGATAAGATAACATATTTGCCATATGCATTACATACTATATTATTGCTATAAAGTAAGCTAGAGAAAATAAAATGTTATTAAGAAAAACCATAAGGAAGAGAAAATACTTACATTTTAATGTTTATGGGGGGAAATTGGCATGTAAATGGACCCATACAGTTCAAATCCATGTTGTTCACAGGCCAACTCTACTTCCATGGTATGTTAATGGAAGTTAAGCACCCCCTCCAAAAAAGAAAAGAAAAGTAAGAAACAAATAAAAAAGTCACTGAGCTTTGGGAAACATTAAACAGACTTGCTTACTGCAAGAGTTATTTGAACCTTTAAAGTCATGCATTATGAAATCCAAAATTTGTTTAAACTCAGCATACATTTGCTTATAAAGGACCAGTACTTCTTGGAACATATTTTGGGAAAGTGGGATATGTCAGCGTTGAGGAAACATTTGCTGAAATGGTACCCTGGCATGAAAGGCCCATGAAAGCTGGGGCTTTGTGGGTATTTTCTCAGTGTTTATTAATTTAATGAATTGTTGGTTTTAGTGGATGAAGGAAGAATTAGATCAGGGTGAAGTCAGTTTTTGGCAGGATTAATCTGATATCATGGTATAAGATGGACTGTAGGGGAATGAGGCTAGGAACTAAAATACCCAAAAAAGAAGTTTTTAAAGTTGTGCAGACCTTAAGGGTGTGTGTGTGTGTGTGTGTGTATATATATATATATATATATATATATATATATATATATTTTTTTTTTTTTTTTGTACTGTGGTGACATTCTTAAAACTAGAAACAAAAGTTGATAAAAGGGGTGTTTGTAAAGATAATTGACAAGATTTGGTGATAGATTAGATGAAGGAAGAAGGAACTTCTCAAGGTACTCAAGAGTTTGGATGGTTGATGATGGAGTAACTGTGGGGATAAAGCTATTTCTATGTGTTTCTTTCAGGTAGCTTGCTGAGCTGATGGATGTAGTCATGAAGGAAGTGTCTAATTCCCTGATAGTTTACCTTGTGTTTGAGAACTTTCAGTGTAGAAAATGATTACAAGTTTTTAAACAGTAAAACTAGTGGTGGGAGAGAGTTTGAATGAAAAATACTGATAAAAACCCCTCCCCTATTTATTGAGTGAGAACAAATGTTTTGTGCAAAGATTCTGACTTAGTCCACAAGCCAACATTTTTTTTTTGCTAGTTCATAAATTCTATGGTATCTGCATATACATATAAAGTATGCTAATTAAAACATTTTAAATTTTGGTAATTATGGTTGGATAATTTATTTGTAGCTACTCTTTTCTAAAAGAAAGACCATCCTAGGATTATCGACTAGTGAACCTTGGATTTTTTATATAAAAAGGCTGTGAGATTTAAAACGTAAGTTGTCTAGTCTAGACATGCTAAGAGGCAAAACTTAGGCAAACCCAGACTACTACTACCACCCTTTATGTCTGCTCAAACCTAACAAGTCCCAAGGGAGCTGACTTCTCCAGCTCAGAAGAGGCAGTGGATGGAATGAAATCAACACAGACTTCAGACCCACAGACTTAGATTTAAAGCCTAAAGGGAATAAGTTGCTTCTTACCTCTTAGTCTACTTATTCATAAAATAGGTATAGTAATTATCTCACAGGATAGTGGTAAGGATTAAATAAGATGTAAAATAACTAGTACAAGAGGCAGTATGCATACCTATGCACAGTTCATCAATGAATGAACTATGTCGTTGTATTTTAGATATACCATCTATCTACCAACCAGATTTACTTTCCATCCCAAAAGTCATGTGTCCATTAGCAGTGCATCTAGTGATCTGGAAAGATGCTACATTTGTGATGAAATAATTAGGAGTGATAATAAATTTGATATAATCAAGATTACCAGAAATATATTCAAAAACTATTCTTTACATGAAAAATTTTAAAAGATTTTTCATGTAAAGAATAGTAGTTATAAGGGTCAGGTGTTGGTGGGGCTAGAAAACAAATTTGTCCTGCTGGAAAAGTTTTAAGTACTTAGATAGTTATATCATTCAATTCAAAATGAAATGAATCTAAACAGTGGTTTTCCTTCATTGTAACTAATACCACTTTTCCATTATACAGTGAGAAGAAGCTCATTACAGATGCTCTCAATAAAAATCAGTTTTTGAAGAGACTGGATCCTCAGCAGATCAAAGACATGGTGGAATGCATGTATGGAAGAAACTACCAGCAGGGGAGTTACATTATTAAGCAAGGAGAACCAGGAAACCACATCTTTGTGTTGGCAGGTGGGTTTCACAGATTTTTCCAGTTATTGTATAACAAATATTTTGCCTATTGTCTTTTGATTTTTGCAAACATTTATAAAAAAAACAAAAACAGTTTGCAGGAAATGTAGCAGATTGAGATCATGAAATAGTAACATTGTTGATCTATTGTGCTGATGATAAGAATATTTGCTGAATGCTTTCTATATGTCAAGCATCCTGTTGAGCACTGAACAGAGAAACCTCATTCATCTTCTCATCAGTTCTGTTACTGGTTACTGATGTTGCCTGTATCTCCATGTTACTAATGCTGACTCTGTCACAGAGAGGTTAAGTAACTGATCCAAGGCCACACAGTTCCTAAGTGGTGGAGGTAGGATGCAAACTTAGGTGATCTGATTCAAGACCATATTTTAATCACAGTGTCACTCATTCAATAAATACAAAAAGCTGTTTCCATTAAAAATACTATTGTTGACATTTTTTAGGTGTACCAGGAAAACACACAATTATTTTGTCAACAAATCAAATGGAATGCTTTGAAATTACAACTGGTAGTTTTAGAGCCATTTAATGGTTTCTTTCATATTTGATTACTTGAACATTAAAGGATTTATTTCTCAAATACATATTAAATGTGTGTCTTATAATGGTATACAAAAACTTCTTTTAGATATAGAAGCAAGAAATTATTGGAGTAGGGTTTATGGATATTAAACACTCTGTCAAATTCAGAATTGCCCTAACTTCTTCAGTTTTAGGGGGGAAGCTAAATTGGTTCCCCAGACAGAATGGTAACCTAGGATGTGCCCGTGGCCTTCTATTTTTCATTACAGTTCATGGCAATCCAAGCATTGAACTTAAAATTTTCTTATTTTAAATTACTTTTATTATAAGCTCACTTAAACTTATATGAACATAATATAAGGTTATACAAACACAATATAAGCACATTTCAACAAAAATGCCAGAATAAAAGTATAGGCTGAATATTAGCTAAAATTACAGACAAAATAAAGTTGAGTTACTAGCAATGTAATGGATGATGTTTAGTTGACTAAGTCACTTTTCACAGTCTCTAAGTTTGGCATGTTCTAATGAAGAAGTGCTAACTCAGTGATCTTGCTACTTCTTTGGCTATGCTTTTATAATTATTTACTTAGGGTCTTAAGTGTGGAGCAGAAGTTGCCTATCCAAACAAATTAATAAACATGTATTATTCTATTTAAAGTATGTGAAAGATTGGTTTCATATACTTTGATTCCTTAAACAACTCAGTCTCATAACTATTGACTTATTATTTGCCACCTATAATTTTATAGGTATCCTTAAAATTCTACAGTCACTCCCAAGTCATTATTTTACCCAAGAAGTAAATTATAGTCTTAATTTATTCAGCCTTCATGTTTTGGGGGAGAGGTGATCCAGAGTAATTTTTCCCTCTTTCCATTTTTTTTCTTGGCCATTTTGTTTCTACTTTAGCAACACTAAAACATTCTGGAGAGAAAAATTAGGTCATTAAGTCAATAAGTATTTATGGAACCTGCTAGAAAAGGATGAGAAACTCATGTCTGCCCATCTTGCTCCTTGAAAATAACTGATGAAAGGCTCGGGGAGAGAAGTGTTGGAACAGAAGGCAGCATCCATACAGCAACTCAAACCAGGGCTATAGCACCCATGGAAATGAAAATGAAACAGCTTCTTCTTTGAATTAATTACGTGCTATCTAAGGACTGAATTGCCTGATTCAATTGATTGAGCAAATTAATTTTTTAATTAAAAATCTGCCCTTTATAAGTTACAGCATGAGTAGCAAATAATAAATGATGTTTAGCTTAAACTTCTGATAGTCCATATATTGTCAGTATTGCTCAAGTCCAATGAGACATAACCTTAGTATAAAAATGAAATGCATTAAAGTCCATGATACCAATTTGGCAGTACCATTAAGTGGTTTCAGTGGAATGGAATTTAGTTGTAATGAGACCTTATTAAATTTTTTATATCTAATTTGTAGGCTTTGGAGCCTAAGCAGAGTTTGTTAGTAGAATATACATTCTATCAGAGTAGTTTCTTTTCTGTTCTGTCCACTCTATCTCTGGCACCTGGACCAGTTCCTGGTAGTACATAAGTACCAACAGAAGATTTGTTGAATGAGTAGATGAACAGAGACCAACAGATCTACTTAAGTGATGAATTAGGACAAGGGAATTCTTCGAGTAGAATAACCCTGCTAAGAATATAGGTTCTTTTGCATATTATTTTAGTTATGTTAGGTTTTATGTACATTTCTTCAAAGGGAAAGGAGCGTAGAATTTCCAGGGTTAAAAAAAAAATGGTGAGGAGGTACCTGAAGTGCTGCCTCTCCCTTCCTCCAACCTTTGTCTAAATAAAGATCAGTTTCACACACTTTCTTCTACACTTTTTCTTTATAAGATGTCATTTTTAGTCATTTTCATTTTATCACAAAATTGAGAGGAGATATTTCCCATATGTCCTCTGCCCCCACACATCCATAGTCTCCCCTATTATCCATATTACTAACCAGAGTGGTACATATTTTGAAAAATTATTTTTACTTTTTCCCCCAAGAATGGACCTATATTGACATATCTTAATCACCCAAGTTCATAGTTTACCTTAAGATTCATTCTTGTTGTTGTTCATTCTATGGGTTTAGATAAATGTATAATGGCATGTATTGTTCATTATAATATTTTAGAGAATATTTTCATTGCCTTACGTATCTTCTGTTCTCTGCTCATTCATCTCCCCTCACTCAGCCCTGACATCCACTTATCTTCTCATTTTCTCCAAAGTTTTTCCTTTTCCAGAATGTAATACAGTTGGAATTGGTGGCTTTCACCTGGTAATATGCATTTAAGATTCCTCCATGTTTTTTTCGTGGCTTAATAGCTCATTTTGTTTTAGCACTGAATAACACGCTATTGTCTGGATGCACCACAGTTCAGTCATTCATTCACCCGTGGAAGGGTATCTGGGTTGCTTCCAAGTTTTGGCAATTAAGAATAAAGCTGCCACGAAAATCTGTGTGCAGGTTTTTGTGTGGTCATAAGTTTTCAGTTCTTTTGGATAAAAATATCAAGGAGCATGATTGTTGGATTGCATGGTAAAAGTATATATCTAGATTTGTTAAGAAACCACCCAACTGTCTTCTGAAGGGGCTTAACCCTTTTGCATTCTCACCAACGATGAAAGAGAGTTCCTGTTGCTCCACATCCATGTCAGCATTTGGTGTTGTCATTTTTCTGGAATTTGGCCATTCTATAATAATAGGTATGTAATGACACCTCGTTGTTTTAATTTACATTTCCCTGGTAACACTTGATGTGGATCAGCTGTTCATATGCTTGTGTGCAATCTATACATCTTCTTTGAAGAGTGTCAAGGTCTTTGGCCCATTTTATGTGTTTTCTTAATGCTGAATTTTAAGTTCTTTCATATTTTTTACAATAGTCCTTTATAAGATGTGTCTTTTGCAAAAAAATATTCTTTTTTCAGCTTGTGATCTTTTTTCAAGCATTCTTCTTAGTGACTTCCATTTATTAATTCATTTCACTGAATGAGGAGCTAGACAACTCCTGAGGCATAGTAAAGTAACTTACTGAAGGACACAGCCGATGACTAGTCAGAGCCAGGTAGTCTGACTCTGGGGCCAGTGTACTTATGATAGTGTGGACAGCTGTGGTGTGTTTCCAAGACATAAAGTAATTTGTGTTTCTTGTACAAGAGAAATTGCTTCATAGATTAGAGTGAATTTAAATAAAACACTTGCCATCCACTGCTTCAGAGAAAGGACATTGCAACAATGATAATATTCACAATAGCTAACACTCATATGGCATTTACTATATGCTAGCCTACCTACATTAAGTTGTTTATATCTCAACAAGTATATGAAGTAAATATTGTTTTTCCCATTATGGACAAGGAACCTCAAGGAAAGAGGGTAACTCTCTCAAGGTGAACAGTTAATGGTATGTGGCATAGCTGGTTTCAGTCTGCATTCTTAACCACTTTATTAAAATGAGAATCATAGATATAATAACTGTATGCTTTATGTACTTTATTTTGTTTTAATTTTTGGAATCCGGGCAGATTTTTATTATTTGTGGGTTTTGTTTTTGTTTTAATTCTGCTTGATAGAGGGCCGAGTAGAGGTGTTTCAAGGGGAGAAATTGATATCATGTATCCCTATGTGGACCACGTTCGGGGAACTAGCCATTCTATACAACTGTACAAGGACCGCCTCCGTGAAAGGTAATAGTAGTTGGAATGCTGTAGTTTTGAATTGTTACACAATGTTAAAGTTAATCTGGTTGAGTCACTATTGCATCTGGTTTAGTCTTTTGCCTTCCATTGTGACCAATATGCTCTTATTAATAAAAATGCTATGCTCTTAAGAACATTTCTTTTGAAGCACTTGTCTCAATAACTCATATTTAAAAGAACTTTCCCAGTAGATACCTGTATGTAAAATATGAACACAGCTTTCAATATTTGCCACTTCACTTTTTTTTTTGCCTTGTAGACATCTGCCTTTGGCTCCTCTAGAATGTTTAATTTCAATTTTCTATGAGATTCTGACTATATTATAAACCAGAAAATTTAATTAAACTAATGAAAATGTGTGTGTGTGTGTGTGTATCAAAAAGGATGTCAATTAATTAATGAAACTTTCCATGAATGAATTGAGATTATTTTAATTGCTTCTCTTTAAAGTTCTTGTTTTGAATGTATTCAATCTTGAGTTTTCTTCTGAATTACTTGGATGTGATGTTTCTCAGTGCTTGAGACTGGTTTACATGTCTCAACATTGCTGCAGTATTTGATAAAAATACAGATTCAGGGCTTCGTTCCAAAAATGAATCAGAATTTCTGGCAATTCAGGCTTAGAATGTCAAGATGATTCTAAAGTTTAGTAAATCAGAGCTTTGGGGTTTGATCTATTTTGTAGACTCTCATTACTTCTTTTTAAAAAAATTTCACAACCATAATTTCATATAGAATTTTTAGAGCTGGTATTTCTGTTCCTCTTTCTTTTTAGATTTTATTCTTGCTTTTAATGTCTTTCCTGTAAAAAAAAAAGTCTCAAAAACTATCTTCCATAATATCTTTAAAAATTATTTGTATACATTTTATGTAATAGTAACCATAGAAATCCTTAAAATATATTGGACTTTACCAACAATGTCTGAATACCATAAAAAGACATCAAAACACACTCCTACACCCGGAGATTTTAAACTTTCAATTAACTCATTGAAGTAGCTATAGACTGGCTGGCTTCTTTTCTATCACAACACAAATCTGAAATACATCCTGATGATTCAGTGCTTAATTGGGAATTGCAAACTAATTTTAATATCATCCTAAGCAAAACATAATTAGAAAGGAAATCTTTTGCTACTCATTTCCAAACCTGGTTCACAAGAAAGCCAAAAATGATTTTAAAAAATTGCCCACTATTTATATCCCTGCCGCCCTCCATTTGCATGTTGAAATAATGCATTTTTCAAGAAATACCATTTTATGAGACTATATAAAATATTTATTGATTAACATTTTGTAATGTTTCCTTAATATGGGGCTAAATAAAATTTTTATTACTTTCTTGATTTTTTTTTCTAAAGCTATTACCAATGTTAAAACTTGGGCACTAGATCGAGAGGTATTCCAGAATATCATGAGAAGGACAGCTCAAGCTAGAGATGAACAGTACAGAAACTTTCTCAGAAGGTAAGGCTAACAGGTGGAAAGAGCCAAAGACGGTGTCGCCATTTTGTGGGTCTGTTGGTTTTACCACAATAATTATTTCACTGTAGATTCTCTTACTAGTGTTTTGCACATGATGCAGCCAGAAGTATTCCTGTGCAGTAAAGGCAACCCTGTATATTTAATTCCCATTAAGCTCATGTGCTGACTTTTGATTTATTTCTCCTACTAATTTGCCCTTGTATATATATTGCCATTGTATATTGTATAGAAAACTGTGCAGAAGAATCCTAAAATATTCACCTGGGTTGCTCAGTTGACTTTGAAAGATATTCTATAATTTAGAAGAAAATAACAAACAATAATCTTTCTAATAACGGCATTGCTTAGAATAATCTTGAAATTAATGTATTTTACTATTATTACTTGATTTACTAGAGACATTTAACAATACATTTTTTTTTATTTCAGAGAGGAAGAGAGAGGGAGAGAAAGATAGAAACATCAGAGATGAGAGAGAATCATTGATCAGTTGCCTCCTACATGCCCCTACTGGAGATCAAGCCGGAAACCCTGGCCTGTGCCCTGGCCAAGAATCGAACCATGACCTCCTGGTTCATAGGTCTGACACTCAACCATTGAACCATGCAGGCTGGGCTACTAAGGACTTTTTATTTTCTCATTTGCATAGCCACACCATCTTCCAGATTACTATATTTGTAGCAAACTAACATGCCAAAATGTTACAATGCTTGCCATGATGGGATAGATCCTTGAAACACACTCATTTTGTGAGCTGTTCTATATGCCACACTATTTGGATAGGTAAATTTATAGAGAAAGAAATACTTCTGAGTCAGAAAAAAGTCACTTATACATTAAAATATGTTTTTGAAAGTGTAAGTTCTTCATTTAAACTATTTTTGTGTCTTTTGTGGGAGTTTTGACAGCCTCTGAATCTGCAATGCATACTGTAATGAATTGTTACCTGTGATAATTGGTCATTATAATAAAATGTCTGGTAGTTCCCCCAAAAAAGAAATACCAAGTTCTTTTTAAGTATGGTGCTTTTGCCTTGCATAACTGGCCTGCAGAGTCAATGATTTTAGGGCTCTCCATGGCTCAAGTATAGTGAGAACTCAGTAAATATTGAATGAATGCATTGCTGATCAGTAGAACATTGCAGGCATTAAGGTTTCTTTTATAGAATCTTGCTGATTTACTCTCTCAGAGTCAATAATGAACCCTGGAAGAGAGCTGCAATCAGGACAAGTAGGTGCCTTATCTTTAGGCCAGCCAATGCCTTAGTGTAGGTGACCTCAAAATTCAACAACTGACGGACAAAGGTTAGCACTTGAAGTAATGAACCACACTTATGCAAGGGCAAAAAAAGGGGGGGAATAAATAGTTAAACCAGTGCTTGTGGGTTGCACTTGAATATCTAAGATAAAACCTGAACCAGTAGGCATAGCAGTTCATTCACTTGGAGTCTAGCAAGTTCTGGCCTAGTGAAAGGAGCACAGAGAATTTATTAGTACATATTCCTTCCTTTTCTATTTTTTCCATCCTTCCTTCTGTTGTCTTACTCATGCATTCATTAAACAAATACTTATTGCTGAGCCCTAAACATGGTGGATCAGTGGTGATCAAAGTAAACTTGATCTTTGCCTTTAGTGAGGGGAGACAGACAATAGATTTCCTCACCTCTCTCTGATGGTATTGGCTTTCAGGAGAGAATTTTCACTAATGCTATAGATCCCAGTGTGGAGCAGAAGTAGAATTTTCACTATAGACATGAGTTAATCGATGTCATGTTTTTGTTACCCTTTTACCTTTTAATCAATAAGGAGATATGAGAAAAATACGCTTATTTCATAATACACAGCAATCTCTTTCTTTTTTATTTATATATTTTAATTATGAAGTATGGGATGTATATAAAAGATACAAAGTATATATGTAATTTATAAAAAAAAAAATAACAAAATGAACACCATAGCGCCTTCTGACCCAAGAAGTACAAAGTTAGTCATGTTATTCTCATGTGCGTCACCATGTCATTTCTAGCTTCTCACATCCCCCTCTCCTTGGTGTAGTATATGTTCTGAAGTTTAATACTAATCATTCCCTTGGCAGTCTTTATTAGTTTTCCTATAGATGATTTAGCCTATTTTTGAACTTCATAAAAATGATATTATTTTTGCAACTCAATTTTTTACTCAATACTTTTTAAAGATATAATTTTATTAATTTCAGAGAGAAAGGGAAAGGGAGAGAGAGACAGAAACATTAATGATGAGAGAGAAACACTGATTATCTGCCTCCTGCATGCCTCAAACTGGGTATCAAGCCCACAACCTGGGCATGTGCCCTGACCAGGAATCATCAACGCTCAACCACTGAGCCATGCAAACTGGGTTACTCAATATTTTTTTCTAAGATTCATCCATTTGATTAGCTCAATTATTTCTTTTATAATAGAGTTTTGATATCTATTTCCACTGCAGTACACTGATCTCTCCCATTGGGGGGTGTTCCAGTGTTTGGCAATGACAAATGATTCTGATGCAAACATTCTTATACGTTCTCCTGGCTATGTGCCTCTCCCTGCACATGTGCAGGGTCAGTCTAGAGCTCTTTTTGGAAAAAAATCAGATCTAATCATGTACTTTTGAGTAGCATCATTTTTTTCTTAGGCGTGTCAAATTTTATATGGTAAGAAAGACATATTTATCTTATAGAAATTTTATCAACAGTCCTGAGTAAAAATGGTTAAAGTGGAGAAGAAATTTCTCTAATAGAGCAATTTAATTATTTCAATTATCAATAGTTAACCACACTAGTGGATTTTCTTACTTTTTCCCCAAATAAGTTTCTGTATTCTATTTCACTTCCTGTATATTATTATTTGTAAAAATGTTTCTATTACATGCCTCTGGCTATCATGAATTTTAAGACAATATAATATAACTAATTAGAGATAATTTTCATGCTAATTCCAACCCCTTACCCCCTGGATTCAGTCTCTAGTAACTGCAAGCATTTGGACTAAAATCTGATCCTCCTCTGGAAGCAGAGCTTCTCACGCATGCTAATAAAAGACTGAGATATGGAGAAAAACACATTTTCAGCAGTGATTCACTTTGAAAACCAACAACACTTGTAAAATGTTGGTTCCCCCTCCCCCCCAGACAATATTTGATTTTCCCCTTTATGGTATCTTATTTTTATTTGCCTGTGATAAATCTCTGTGATTATATGTATTTTATGTAATTTTAAAATACTTGAAATTTAGTTGTTTATCTGTGACATATTTGGAGGTTTACTTTGGAAAAATTAAGGTGCATTTTTAGATACAGGTAAAGATATTTGATCTACATATAGGTGTAAATTTATAGTTTAATTTAGGAAGATGAAGAAATTAATGTCTCTTTTTAATTTTGAAGTGTATCCTTGCTGAAGAACTTACCCGAAGACAAGTTAACCAAGATCATTGATTGCTTGGAAGTGGTAAGAAACTTTAAAGCAAAAAAATACATTTTATTAAGAGATTGTAGTAGTCCTTATTCGCACTATAAATTAATAAAAAGGAAAAGATGGTGGATCGGCAGTCTACAGTGACCAGGGGCCATTTTCTATTGTGAAAAACCATGAGGCCCATTCTCACTAAATTCTGGGGCTGGGATAGCTTTAGGTGACTCTTCTGAAATGTATAAAGCATTGGACTTGAATGTGTAAAGCATATTTTAATCTTTTTAGTATATTTTATAAAACTAATCTGCATTACTCAACCAGTTAACTACCACGCATTCAAAATGTTGTCAAACCCAGAGATGTCACTAACAAGTCTGTTTTTAAAATTGGATGACCAGAACTGATACGGGAGGTTTGTGGCTATAGATCTCCATGGCTTGTGGGAAGGTCCTCCGCTTGCATCTATAGATGCTTATGGCGTACAAAGGGTCAAGAGGCATTTGTTTTTCAGCAGTTCACTTCACAGCCCATTCAGAGTTTTCATGGTATAAAGGAGTTGGTGGTGCCAATTAGGAAGTAGTGCAGAGAAAGAGGGTACTGGGGTGTTTGGTGATAGCTCCTGGGTCAGACCCCTAAACACTCCATGCTTGCACACTCTAGGTCAGGAAAATACTTGAGGAAAAAACTGCACTTATGAAGCACTTTATCTATTTTAACATCTAAGGGGGGAAACATGGCATGTTGGAATTTGTTCAAACACTCATATTAAGCCTCACCCAGATGGTTGGTTCTAGTCCAAGACTAGCCAAGTCTTCGGGTGACTAATACTTTTGTGACACGTACCTTGGGATCTAATGGTATGCATTATGTGAAAAAGTCTTCAGATTTCAGATGAACATTCAAAGCAAATAATCTTTCCTTAACTGGGGGAAGGAGAGTGGGGGTCAATTTCATTGAAACCAAAATGGTGTACTAGGAATTTAAAAGAAGGTGAGGAATAATTAAGGAGTTACACGCAGATTCTAAGTCAGTGTTTCTAACCTTTCTAATGCCTCGACCCTTTAATACAGTTCCTCATGTTGTGGTGACCCCCAGCCATAAACTAATTTTGTTGCTACTTCTTAACTGTAATTTTGCTACTGTTAATGAATCATAATGTAAATATCTGTGTTTTCCAATGGTCTTAGGCTCTATGGTTCCATAGGTTAAAAACCACTAGCAGGTCGCCTAAGACCATTGGAAAACAGATAACTACATTACAATTTATTAACAGTAGCAAAATTACAGTGAAGAAGCAGCAAAATAGTTTTATGATTGGGGGTCACCACAACATGAGGAACTGTATTAAAGGGTCGAGGCATTAGAAAGGTTGAGAACCACTGCCCTAAGTGATTATAAAGCTGTTTTCAGTTGGAGACACAAACAAAACACAACCTGCAAGCCTGATTGTTGACAGATTCATGCCTCTGTCAATTGCAATACACAATGTAAACTAATATCTGCCGAGAAGGGAGCACTGATCATTGCATCCTTAAATGTAAGTGACACCAGTAATGTTTCCATTTGAAATTCATGGACCCCATCCAGCAGTTTATCAAGGACAGGCCATGATGACACAGTGCCCGGCCTTGTGTCCTCAGGGCGTTCAGTTATGAAGTCATTTTTGAGAGGACTGCTTGCCCTGTATCTTTGGGGATTTTCCAGTGTAACATAACCCAATCACAGATGTTACAAATTAATAACTCATCCTAATTTCTGAGAGTGTTGTGGTGGGTTTTTTTTTTTTAAGCTAGGAGGCCCTATATTTTTTTGTTAACCCAGAAAAATCTGGTTTTAATATAATCCTAATAGAGTCGATTCACCAGAGGGGAATTCCATGCTGACAGCAAATATTAAAATTTAGCATCATTAAAAATAAATGGCAAATTAGACATATTTATAGCAGCCACAGGCAATAGCACAGAAATATATGGATGAGGGGCTCAAGTCCAGTCTTAATTAACCCACAGTTCGAGTTTGAACGGCTCATCTTTTGAAACACCCTAGAAAAGCTTTATTATTCCGTGTCAGCATTTGCAGACAGCAGCGTAGTTTATAAAGAGCTCTTTATTCATACCTGGCAAGCCAGTGGGACCCTGTAGCGTGTGAAAATTCCCAAATGCGAAAAAAGTGATTAACAAGGGGCAAGTGGGATCTATGTGGCTCTAAGAAAAGTACATTATTTTCCAGCACAGCCAACATAGGCGACAGCCGATCACTAAGGCATTGGTGTGATGACAGAGCGCCCGCTGAGCTCTAGGACCAGGTGTCCCACAAACAGTCCATAACCTTTGAGAAAGACAGGCTGACTCTGGCGTGCTGTTTAGGGGTTGATTTGGGAGTTTTTACAGGGACCAGGAAGGAGCATCAGGACTTCCTGTCACCGAGCAGTTGATCTGATGTGTTTGTTGAGGCTTGGTTGAACTCCTGAACCAAATGGCCCCTGTTTTGTAGTTCCAGCAGCATCTCTTGCGTCAGCTTAAATCACCCAGAACGTTCAGCCCCAGAGGTAGACATCACCTTTCAGCTTCTTGTCATGTTCTGATGGGAAAAGGAGAGTGGGAATAGTATCAGAATACTCACTGGTGTGCTCTAAGCATTAATTCACGGACATAGTAAAACACAATACAGATTCAGAAAGCAGTGTGACTGTTAATGGTAATAAAAGTGATAATGCGCCTTCTGTACCTGGCGGTTGTGCAGCATGGAAGATAAGAGCGGGACGAGCTTCTGCTCCCACACATGGTGATCAATCCAGAGAGTATGGGATGTGACCGTGGTGGATGGAAAAGTCAGCTATTACTTTGTTACAGACCTTTGGTATTTGACCCAGTGACCTTCTGTACTGTGACTCTGACATGCCATCTTTCAGGAAACTGGAGGTGTGGTGAGGGGTGGGGTGCTGGGGTATGAGGAATGTCCTAGTCCTTACCCAGATCACTCACGGCACTGCTTAAAAGACAGACCCCAAGGTGCCAACTCACACTTAATGAGTCAAAAATTCTGATGGAGTAAGGGCTCAGAAATCCACATTTTAACTATGCAAGTTTTATGCTTGTTTACTCGTATTAAAGTTTGAGAAGCACTAGCTTAGAATTATGAATAGGATACATGTATTTAGAGTTTGCCACAATCTGCCTCTTCAAGAATTTTCCTTTTTATTTTCTAATCATTTAAAAACAAAACAAAACAGAAAACTCTTGTCTTACTTATAGTTCCCATTAACACATACATAAGCCAGAAGTTTTTCTCACTTTAATGATTACACCCAGAGCCATAAAAAAAAAGTTGAGAAACTGGATTTTGCCACAATTTATGATCCAGTTAGTTAAGGTGGGGCAGCTAGATGTTGTAGAAAGTTTACTAGTCCAAGGTCCTGAGATTAGGCTTTGTCATTAGCAGCTGTCAGTTCATCTTGGTGGGCTTCAGGGTTTTCTCATCTACAAAAGTAAGGTGGTGGGGGCCACAAATCTACAGGCTCTGTCAGTCTTTTAATTACAGAATTCTATTCAGTTGACTTACCCAAGTCAGAGGGATTTCTTTTGGTTTTCATTTTTTAGGCTCTGGTCCCCTGGAAGTAAGCAACCAGGTACTAATTTAGGATTGGTAGGGTCCACTGATCATGGTGTATTTGCTTTAAAATATCTCAGGTGTTTTAACTAGTGTCCTTGTGCAAATGAGAAATTGCTGGTAACAACCCAAACAACTGCATACAGTTTCTTAAGCAACCGACTTGGGTGCATATTCACATGGTGCATGGAGGGTATGTGTGTGTGTGTGTGTGTGTGTGTGTGTGTGTGTGTCCTATATCTGGTTGTATATAATTAATTCTACAACTTAGTTTCTAGCCACACCCTAAAGATTCTAAGGAAATCATAGGCTTGCTTTTTTTGTCATTGTCCTTTATCACCTTGGTTTTTTTCTTCTGGTTTTATTTATTTACAGGAGCTTAGGCATTTTGCTAGACTGTCATGAATGAGCTTTTTTTTTTTTTTAACAGGGAAAAAATATTTTTATCTTTTGCTGTTTGTATAGTTTTCTTCTGACTTTGACCTCTCTCTGCCCTTGAATTATTTCCTTATTTTTTTCTCTTGTCATGCACTAAATAGGTACTCTCTGGATTTCTAGCACCTTCTTTTAAATCATATTTTCTAGACTATGGGACACAGTAGGTCATAAAACCAATTTAGAGGAACATGTTTTATATCAGAGTAATGATTATAAATGCTGTTTTGAATAATACAAATGTGTGTGTTTGTGTGTGTGCATGTAATCGCTTACTGTAAGTTAGAGTGAAAAAACGTTTGAAAACCATTGGTCCATAGGACAAGGTCTATGGCTTCTTGGTCCTCTATGGACCCCTTTCCAATGTAACCACAGGACAGTAGCCACACTGTTTGCATTTCTCTTTTGGGTCTTGGTGACCACCCTGGCTAGACTGGCTGCTTTCCCGGCTTGACAAACACTGGCCAGTCTGGCATCATAGCCAGTACTTACTACCATACTAGTATATTTTTGGTCTGACCTACATCCACTACCTTTTCTGATCTATGAAGTTACTGTCAACACACTGGGAGGTATTATTTATCTTCCTCCCCTGGTTTTGGGTGACAAAGAACCAACCCTGGGGAAAACACCAGAACAACAACGCTCTTTCTCAGTGATTCCTTTCCAGATGCTTCCTTTTAACTAATGAGGCTGAAAGGAATTAAGTGGTGGATCCTCACATACCCAAACGTCTTATCGTAATTGAAGAACAGCCCAACAGCACTTCAGAGATTCTCCTCGGTCCTCTGCTCTGTGTGGGGAAGAAGCCTGCCACATCGACCAGGACCCCAATAGGTTTAGTCAAGAGCACTGAACATCAGCTATGTAATGAAGGTGTCGGGCTGCAGTGCTGGGTCCCTCCCTTAACCGCCAAGGGTCATAATCCTCTCAACTGTGAAATCTAGCTCGAACAAAGAAGCTAGAATGAGAAAGATTAAAGAATTGGAGTAAGCAAACTGTGATTCCAAATACTCAAAATACTATTTTTCCAACTAAACTAGAAGTTTGTTACTTGCGTACATAGCAGTCTAAGGATGATGATCTCTGTTGGAGCCAGAGAGAATTCAAGAACCCAAGCTGGTCTCTGCCAAGCTCTCGCCATGCCGTGCCATTATGATTGAGGGGAAAGGATGAAGTCACATGCCTGAAATGGTTCTTGGGATTTAGAGAGGGGGCACAGTCACTTCTGTGAGGATGCTTTTAGCCACGGGTTAATCACATGCCCACAGCTGGGGAGTACAGTTCACTGTGAAAGATTTTGAGGATCAGCTTAGGGCCTCTTTCACAGGAATTAACAGTCGTCAGGTGCCTGGCATGTACCCACTGTGCCACCAGGTGCTGTAGATACAACGTCTCACCTAGTTCTCAGACAGCATTAAGTGTGGTAAGTAATGGAATCTTAATTTTACAGAAAAGTAAACAGATCCAGAAGAATTAAGTCACAGCTCAAACCATTATCTTCCTCCTTAATATGGCAAACTTTGAGTTTTCACTACTCAGTTTCATTACTGAAGTTTCGGATGCTTTTAACACTTCATAATGAAAATATTGTCTTTAATTGGCTTATTGTGGTAGACAGGATGTACCCCAAACATGTCTAGACCTAGATCCTTGGAGCTTGGGAACATGTTATGATTCATGGTGATAGGGACTTTGCTGTTGTAATTAAAGTTCTGGACCTTTAAATAGGAATATTACCCTGGATTATCTAGATGGGCCAGGTATCATTACATGAGCCCTTAAAAGCCGAGAACTTTCTCTGGCCAGAGTCAGAGAGGTGCAGCAGAAGTGGAAGTCAGGTTGCAGGTAGAAGAATCCCATGTGCTGTTGCTGGCTCTGAATTGTAGGGATTTTGTGCAAGGACTGGATGGAGAGAGACCTCTGGGATGGCAGCCAGCATGGATGTGGGGACCTTATCCTGAAACCACAAGGAACTGAATTCTGCCAACAACCTGATTAAGCTTGAAAGCAGACTTTTCCCCAGGAGCCTCTAGAAAGGAATACTTCTCTGCTGATACCATGGTTCAGTCCTTTTTTTTTTTTAAAAAAATGTATATTTATTGTTGAAAGTATTACTGATGGTTCATGGGCCTTGGATGGAGGAGGTATGCATCACTTCTGCGCAGATGCTTTTAGCCAGGGATTAATCACATGACCACAACCGGGAGGTTGAGAAGCACAGCTTACTGTGGAAGATTTAACCCCCCTCCTCCCCACTCCCGACCCCTCCCTAAGCCTTCATCCCACTATTATCTGTGTCCATTGGTTATGCGTATATGCATGTAAGTTCTTTGATTGATCTCTTCCTGTCACCCCTTACCCTCTGAGGATGCTCAGTCTGTTACATGCTTCCATGTCACTGGACCTATTTTGTTTGTCAGTTTATTTTGTTCATTAGATTTCACATACAAGTGAGATCATGTGAGAAGCTTCTACACAGCAAAAGAAATTAATATCAAAATGAAAAGGGAACCCACTGTATGGGAGAACACATTTGCCAATGATGTATCTGATAAGGGCTTAATATCCAAAATATATGCAGTACTCATACAACTCAAAAAAAGGAAAATAAACAACCCAATCAAAAAAATGTACAGAAGACCCAAGAAGACACTTCTCCAAAGAGGGCATACAATTGGCCAGCTCAACTTCATTAATCATCAAAGAAATGCAAATTAAAACAACAATGAGGTACCACCTCACACTGCCAGAATGGCTATCATCAACAAATCAACAAAGGACAATTGCTGAGGAGGATGCAGAGAAAAGGCACCCTCTTGCACAGCTGGTAGGAATGCAGACTGATGCAGCCACTGTGGAGAACAGTGGGGAGTTTCCTCAAAAAATTAAAAATGGAACTGCCATTTGACCCACTTCTAGGAATATATCCTAAGAAGCCTGAAACACCAATCAGAAAGAGTATATGCACCCTATGTTCATAAAAGCACTATTTGCAATAGCTAAGATATGGAAACAGCCCAAGAGTCCATCAGTAGATGAGTGGATTAAAAAGCTTTGGTACAAGTACACCATGGAATACTATGCAGCAGTAAAAAAGAAGAAGAATCTTTTACCTTTAGAGATAGCGTGGAGGAACCTGGAGAGTATCATGCTAAGTGAAATAAGTCAATCGAGTTCAGTTTTGAGAGACACAATGCAGAGAAACCCAGTTGAACCACACTGTGGCTGAATCCTCTGACACAATAAATGGGTGTTGTTTGGCTGTTTCAGCAGCAATAGAAAACTAAGGTGTTTCTCTTTTCCAAATCTTTGAAAGTAAATATTCTTATTTGAACTTTATGGATTGATGCAAGTGAAACGCACAAAAATCTGTTTGACTTCAAATACTGCCCCCCCCCAAGATGTTATTCTTCCTCCTATGAGAGGTTGAAATATATTGTAAAATGTACATGCACACTAATAAAAGAGAACTATGCAAATTGACCATACCTTTGTGATGCCCACCAGCCAATCAGGGGCGAGTATGCAAATTAACCCAACACAGATGTTGGGTTAATTTGCATATGCAGGCACCAAGTGGCTGGGGGCGTGGTGGGATGCTTGCATCCTCACCATAGCAACAACACAGTTGTTCTGCACCACCCCAGCAGCTCCTGGCCTCTGGGCAGCGAAAAAGGTGGAAAGGCGGTTCCAGGCCAGAGTGAAGGCAGAAAGGTGGCTCCTGCCAGAGCAAAGGCATTGCCAGTAACCAGGGGAAGGAAGGCCCATTCTTGCATGAATCTTCATGCATTGGGCCTCTAGTAGTAAATAAAAAGGAATGTTTATGGGTATTAGGAGTGATATTGATTCTGTAACTGTAAACAGGTTTTAAGAGTAAATGACCAAAAAAGATATTGAAATACAGTAGATACAATAGTTTTGTTTGAATTTTAAATGAGAGACAGCTCTTATGTGGTTAATATGCCTTTTTAAAAAATTAAACAAGCCCATTTATGCTTGTATAAATGATTAAGCGATCCATTTTAGTTCTCTGACTTTGAAACAAATCACATTAAAGCTAAGTATGGGTGGACAGTTTAATCCATCTTTAGTCTTCTCTAAGAGACTAAATTGCTCTTTTTGTCTGGCAGGTGGATGAATTACTTTTCCCTGCCCAAGAACTCTTTGATTATGTGCACATACAGGAGGGAAACAAAGATATAAGAGACAGTTAGATATTTCATGAGGATAACCTTCTTTGGAGAACAGAATTTACATGTAAAAAATTCTAATGTTGGTCTTTTATAATGATAAATCTGTGGAAAGAATTCATATGAAAGAGCTACATAATATGCAGATAGAATTTTCCTAGTCTTTGCTCTTCAAATAATTAGAAATGGAGATTGATAGTCCTAATATCCATTGGGAATAATATTTTCAATTTATTAGGTAATCATTTGTTCTTTTTCTAAATGCTAGACTGAGTTTCAGACTGTTGCAGATCACTAAACAGTTTATATTTAGATGACTTGGGTGAAAGCCACCTGTGTATCAGTGATTATTGTTCTGCTCTCATTTCTCTCCTAGACTGCAGGCTCCGTGCCTGAAATTCAATCCTCCTGGTGATTGTTTTCTGTGAAAGATAAGCATACATGCAGATAATATAGTGAAAATCTCCTTCTCCACAGTTTATTACTGCAATCTTTTAAAAAAGATTTAGTTACAATAGCAAAAATAAACAAAAAAAGAAACAGGTGTTTCTTAATTCTTAAATGCTCATTTGAATTTCTAATCAACCCATAATTACTATCTTGAATTGGAATAATTCTAATCACAACCAAAGCATATTATTCTCATTCTAAAGCCACTAGGAGTTCTATTTCATTTATGTCTTCATTGATACATCTCCCCTGGATCTAACCTGTGCTTTCCTCTCACCCCAATAGGAATACTATGACAAAGGAGATCACATTATTCGAGAAGGCGAGGAAGGAAGTACCTTTTTCATTTTAGCCAAAGGAACGGTAAATATTAATTATAGCTTACTTAAAGTAAATGAAAAAAGTCCCTTTAAATCAGTTTGCCACAAATGCAGCTCTGCCCTGCATTGCAATATAAGAAACTATCTACTTTGAATGGGTAAAGGTGTTTTTCTGCTCAGTCCTGGGGGGCTCCATCCAAGCCCTGGGTTTGGGGGTACAGGAACTTGTGATTGTGATGTGTTCCAGCTAAGAGTAACTACCTGGTGACCTTGACACGGCACTTGATATTTTTGGACCTCATTTCATTGTGTATAAAATGAATGGATTTTTTCTAAGGTTCCTTCCAGCTATTGATGTGTGATTTTCCATCAGTTGAAGGGCCAAGAACAGGGCTGGAACAGTTTCCCTGACAAGCAGCAGGTAGTGAACTTGGCAATTGAGGACAGATATGGTCAGAACTCAAGCTATAGAACAGTTTGGCTCAGGGCTTCATTCATACATAATAGTTTCAGTTCAATTTAGATGCTGATGAAAATTATATATAGTCTTTTGCTTTACCTATATATTGAGTGACTAACATATTCCCAGTTGCTCCTATGTTGACTCTTTTCAATGGTCCTCACAGGTAAAAATCATTTGTCAGATACAGAAGGAAAGAAAATCTTGAGGACCTGTTTCTATAAACTGTTGGAATTTTACAATTGCTCTTTCTTTCATAGGAAAGGTTCATCATTAGATTCAGGCACTGCCCTTTGTAAATTGTTTTGTGATTGAACTTTGAACTGGGCCCCCGTGGGGAAAAAATATAACAAAATTGTTTTAAACCTCAGAAACTCTTCAAAACTCAGAACCACTTTTGTCATTTTTCCACAACTTGGACCCCATGCTTGGAAAGAATTCTGGCTAATAAACATTTCATTAAAAAAAAAAGTTTTTTAATTCGTGGTGATTTAGATAAATGCTCATTTGAATTTCTAACCAACCCTAATTACCATCTGGAATTGGAATAATTCTAATCACAACCAAAGCATATTGTTTTGTTAGACTCTGCCATGGGGGTTCTTAAACTTGTCGGGACTACAGAACACAATGACAAATGAAAGATTGCAGACTCTTCCCCACATCACATTTTTGTCCAGTTTTAGAGGGTTCACAGGATTAAGCAAGTCTGTTATAAATACTTGATTAAGAACTCCTGATTCTCAGCTCTATTCTTGAGTAAATTGTCAACTCTATTTGGCATTTGAAACAACGTTCCCATGGAACCATTATTATTTGCTTTGATATCTTTAGGAAGGAGTCACTAGATTCACTTTGGCAGGTGGGGTTTGAATGGAGACTCTTGCTCTAACAGGGGGTGAAGGAGTGTGATCATGTTAAATCATGGGATTTCTCAGTCCACAAAAACTTCCTTGTTCTGTCAAGTTTATAGAGAACTGGATGGTCTGGTTGAGTAAATATGTCTTCAGATTATCCTTTCTTTCTTTTCTCTCTTTTTCATTGTTTGGCATAATTTAGGTAAAAGTCACCCAGAGTACAGAGGGCCATGATCAGCCACAAGTGATAAAAACACTGCAGAAAGGAGAATATTTTGGAGAAAAAGCTCTTATCAGGTGAATCCATGACTTTGTATACCATACTATAATAATTTTTGATTGTTTCATATGTGCAACTACATGTCAAATTGAGCTACCAAAATAATGGCAGCCAATGTCCAGAAATTAAAAATTATAAAATACTTTTTTTTGTCCAGGAAACAGGTTAGAAAATTATGTTTGCTAGTGAAAACAAGGCTTTCCATTAGAATTTTTAATTGAAAAAGGACTCAGAGAAAAAGATTAAAGAAGTCAAAATTATAATTTTCTTTTAATAACAAGTTTTATATTTCCTGGGTTTGAAATATTGCTGTTTCCCCCTTTTAAAAAAAATTAGACAATGACTTACATATTTTGTGTACTTTTTTTCTTTATTGATTAAGGTATTACATATGTGTCCTTATTCCCCTTTGATCTCCCCTCCCCCATTTTGTGTGCTTTTTAATCATCATGACAAAAGTTCTATATTTGTAAGAATTTTTATCGACTTACTTTTCAAGTTTTAGAAACAACATCAGTAGGGTATTTGGAATTTCTACCTAAACCTGAGGCCTCAGATATATAAATTCATTGGGTTGATCTAATTTATGGAAGAAATGTTTGTAAAGGTTAATCAAGTAGGTCAGGGGATACTTTGTACTTCCTGGAACCCAGAAAACAACTTCAAGTCTGAAGAACTGCATTTCTGTAAATGTAAATCCCATATAATAAAAGCCTAGCGACTGGATTTCATAACAACCAGAATGACCAAACAGTCACTATGACGTGCACTGACCACCATGACACAGACGTGCGATGCAGGAGCTTCCCCCTGGTGATCAGTGCACTCCCACAGTGGGAACGCTGCTTGACTGACCAGGATGAGTGGCTGCTTGCTCGGCTGACCAGGGTGAGCAGTGCTCCCACAGGCCATGCCCCCCACCAGTGCACGAATCCCATGCACCAGGCCTCTAGTGTTTCAATAATAGGGAAACAGTTCATTTCGTTTATTTGTGACAGAATGCTCTCATGTAAATAATTATGTAATGTCACAATCCAAGAATTAAATCTCTTAGTTCTTAAGATTCTTATTTTTCTCATACCTCAAACCAGAACAATTATACTTTGAAAGTGCAGAGAACTTCATAAATGTACTAGAGCCAAAAGGAAATGTGCTGCTTTTGTTTTGCTGAACCTGAAATAATTTATGCTGTACGTTGCCACTAGCCAATTACAGTGTTTTTCCATGAGAAACATGGGACTTTATATTTAATATAAATCTCCAACTCCCCAACGCATTTGAAACTATAAAGCTAAAATCAATGAGGAGAGTTGGATACAATTTTTTTTTTTTTTTACATTTTTGTGCATTTTTATGCTGTCCCTTCTTAGGGCCACTGACTGTGACACAAAATTCCTTACATTGTGTGTATTTCCATAACTCGACACTAAATAGTCCTGGGAGGTCTTTCAGAATTTTATATGCAAAAGTTAATCCACAGCACTTACACAGTTACTGTAAGAGAATCGTGTATTTACAGACATCTGATACTTACAAAGAGTCTGCAGAGAGTTTCTAGTCAAACGATGACACTGACAAATGAAAAAGATGCCATACTTCTTCTTTTTTTTGAACTCACAAATCAAGTAGTTGGCCCATATCCAGAGTCTACATATCTCATCTCCAGATATGTACATGCAAGTTGAGTACAAACTCTCCAGCTCCCAATCCAAAAGCTAATTGAGCTGCTTTCACTGATGTCTTCTATCAAGGACCCTGTAAACTTGGAAGGGACTGTGGGTCATGTCAGAAAATCTCTTGATGTGAGCTATCCAGGTAGTGGGCTTCTTTGGAATGTACAGTAGAAATGGGATGCCAAGCTTCTGTCCCACTATTAAAGGAAGATGAAAGAACCATGCTTCATGTGATGCCCCTTTTAACGAAGTCGCTTAGAGTAGTCTCAGTATACTTGCTACTCCAGGCTACTTTAATGATTTGCAGAGCACTGGGTGCCATATGGGTGTGCCTTGTCTTCCCTGTCTTTAGCTTATAACTAATAGAGGGAGGGAACTAATCAAATAAAAGTCTCTAAATACATTACCCAATGCTTGACCCATTGATCTTCATTAGGTAGCTAAATTTACCCTCATTAGATTACATGCCGGTAATTCATTGTATTTAAGCTATCGATTATAAGATGCACCGTTATATATTATACACTTCTAAGAAAGAAAGACCTTGCTGTTAATTACAGTATGACTCATCATTAATTGTAAGACATACTCCAGTTTTAGAGATATTAATGGAAGGTGAACATAATAGATTCTATAAGATGAAAAAGTATTTTAGTATTATTTAATTCATTGGACAATTGCATTAAAACACTTCCTTTGGGTTTTATTATTGATTGGTTTGTTTTATGTTAATTACTTAAATGTTTTTCCAATACATTTCTCCAATCAGTCAATTTTGGTTTCGCCTGAATATTTGCAGCAGTTCCCATCTGATCAGAGAAGAGCTTTTTATTTGGCAGACATGAGAGCAGAGTAATATTCTATACCTAGTTGTTGTCACTGATTCCTCTGTGCACCCCCTGTAGTTATTGTTTTGTCACCTGAATTTCTTGTATACGTAACCTTTACTGGAATATATTTCTAACCTTTTTTTTTTTTTTTTTTTTTTTTTTTTTTTTTTTAAGTATAGAGTATAGCTGATGATGTTAAAAAAAAAAGCATAGTCTTTGGAAGGTTTAAGTAATGGTGTTTTATACAAAGTGACAGATTCTTTAATAAAAACAGGCATTTAATTTCTAACTGCCTTTCCTGTTTTTGTCTGTAGTGAAGATGTCAGATCGGCGAACATTGTTGCTGAGGAAAATGATGTGGCATGCCTGGTTATAGATAGAGAGTGAGTATACTGGTTGGAGAAGGCAGGCTACTGTCACCTTTGAAGACGTGGCCTTCTGTTACTCCAAGGGCCTGTCTGTCTTTTCTTTTATCATCCCTTGGAAATGCTGGCCAATCTTCAGCTACAAGTACATTCTATTAAAATTCATGGGAAGGAATGTGCCTTCTGATCTGAATCTGTCTGTGGTGGTGGCAGATGCTGGAAGACCAAATATTTTGTGTGCAAAGTTTTTACATAAATATCAGTAATAGATTTAAATTCTGCATCTTCCAGAGAAATAAGTTCATTAGTCCTCATGGAATTTTCTCCACATCACATAGTAAACAACTTCATAATCTATTTCTATAACGCTCTAAAGAGCTAAAAATATTTTAAGCAAAATGTATCTCAGACAGAATATAAAATATTCATTAGCTATATATGCATTTCCAGATAAGTTTCTTTAACAATTGTAGTAATTTGCAAGTGATGTGTGTCAATATTAATCTCTAAATGTCTTAGGTTATTTTTCAGAAGGAGTCTCATTTTATGTCCTTAATTCCCTTCAAATCATATTTGAATCTGGCCTCTTGTGCCTCATTAATTAATTGAAGATTTATTATTTAGTTATAATAAAGGAAATTCAAACATACCAAAGCTAGGTCTTTCTGTAAGAAAAGTCACAGTGTAGTCAAAGAAATAGAGAATACTCATATGCAATATCAACAAAAATAGTAAAATAACAAGAGGTATCAAAAGGGAATATGTTGTAATTGATTGCTAATCAAATACAAAATTTGTTGAACATAAAATGTTAGAGATTTAGAACTGGAAAGAACTTTAAGATATTTTAAAAAACAGACAAAATGGTATTATGAACCTCATAATACAAGTTCAACAATGATTTATTGATGCTTTATTTATACCTCTTCACCACCCCTCCCTGCTTCCTCCATACTATTTTCAAGCAAATTACACACATACTGTTATTTCACCTGTAAATTTAGTAGCATCTCTAAGAACTAAATATTATTTATAATGCATGACCACAATAACATTAGCATGCCTAAAATGTTAACAATACTAATTTTTATTATTTTTAATTGACATATAATTGGCATATTAAGATTACATTAGTTTCAGATATACAGCATAATTTTCAATATGTCTATATTGCATAATGACATATACTGCAATATAGACATATATTAACATCCACATATAGAACAGTTTCACCCTTACAGATAGGAAAGGTGAGTCCCAGATCAGTTGAAGAATTACCCAACAGTGCCATCTGTGATGGAGTTGGGACTCCTGCCCACATCTCCCCATTTCTTTCAGCCTTCTTTACACCATGCCCAAAACTACACCAAGTGGAAAACTACAGACATGTTTTCTCTTCTCAAGGATAAGTTCTTTGCTTCATAAACTCAAAGGATCTTCTATACAACTTCTAATATAATAACTATTCTTCATATTATGGTGACACTATCCTACATTAATTACTGAAAAACAATTTACAAAACCTTGAATAACCACAGAAACAGTCTTTTAAAAAAATATATTTTATTGATTTTTTTATAGAGAGGAAGGGAGAGAGATAATTAGAAACATCGATGAGAGAGAAACATCAATCAGCTGCCTCTTACACACCCTCTACTGGGGATGCGCCCACAACCAAGATACATGCCCTTGACCAGAATCGAACCGGGGACCTTTCAGTCTGCAGGCTGATGCTCTATCCACTGAACCAAACCAGTTTCGGCAGAAACAGTCTTTTATGAGCTTAAGAAGAATGTCAAGTTGCAATGGTAACTAGCAACACAGGTTTTAATTCAATTTAACTTAATTTTCATTTAGAACATTCAACCAAACAGTTGGGACTTTTGAAGAACTTCAAAAATACCTTGAAGGGTATGTGGCAAACCTGAACCGTGATGATGAAAAAAGACATGCGAAGTAAGTGGAGGACTATTTTCCTAAGCAGGATATGGCTATAGCAGTTAACAAGAGGGACAAAAGGGTGTGTTTGCTATTGTAGTAACTTTTAGTGTGCCTTCACTAGAAAATTTAGGGGGATTCTTTTAAGTTGTCTTCCACAAAGAAGATACCACTTACCACTGGTATGATTATTTCAATCTATAAGTAGCTTCTTATTTGGGATGATGAGTAGTAGTGATGGGGAGAAATTTCCTGATGGGGGCCTTGGAAAAAAAGATTCTTTACATTATCTGGTGACTTAATTCAAAAGTCCTTAATTCACAATCAATGCCTCTGTTGCCCATTAAGATGAAGCAGGAATGCCAAAGCAATCAGCACTTTGTGATTTCAGGTTAAAAACTAGCAGAATAGTCAGAATTAGTTCAAAATACAAGGGAGCTATTGCCTCAAGGCTTGTGTGTGTGTGTGTGTGTGTAGGAAGGAATAGGGTAGGGCTCTAAATGTGGGGAATTTTCTGTTTATTAGGAAAATCTACTTTGTAAAACTACATTTATTTGAAAACTTTTAGCTAAAACATTTTGTGGAATGAATACTTAAGTACATATTCACCAGATAGTACAATTGAAGCAGAGGGTCAACAGTTGTAGAAAACTGACATTTGAGTTAAATCAGAGCATTCAGTCAGGGCCTCATAAAGTTTTGTATTTTTTTGTTTGTTTGTTTGTTTGGGGGCAAGAGATGTATTTGCAACTTTTATGCCAAAGACCTTTTATAGTAATAATAATTTATGAATATTTAATCCAGTGCAGTAAACCTTAAATAAAAGAAAAAAAATGAGAAGTCCCAAGTCAGATATAAAGTAGGAAACACACTTTCTATGTTTCACAAAGTAGTTATTCTTGTTCAGTCATAGAAAGCTTTGAGATCTGACAAAAATAGCAAAACATGCAGTGATTCTCAGTGTGACATTCTCTGGTATGTATGCAACAAAGAAAATGGCTCTCGGGTTTTATTTCCTCTGACTCTTCTCTTTTTAACAGCTTCATTGACATACATTTTAAATACCACACAATTCACTCATTTTTAACTCTCATTGATCCAATTTGATGGTTGTCTATTTTTTATTGTGTGTATGTGTGTCAGTTTTTTGTTTGCATATTCTGTTGTCTCCTCTCACCCCCCCGTGATAGAATCTGATCCCTATACAAGTTGGAATAGCCTTTGTGGCACCTGTAGGCAGGAATGACTCAGACATGAGACTGTGTGGGAGTGCAAGGTCAGTGTGGCAGGACCCCTGCTGGCCCAAGGTGGTGTGTGTAACCTGTCACTTCTCTTGAGCAGGCGATCCATGTCTCACCGGAACCTGTCCAAAACGCTCTCTCTGGAGATGATTCAGCTGAAGGAGAAGGTGGCCCGATTTTCCTCATCGTCCCCCTTCCAGAACCTTGAGATTATCGCAACACTGGGCGTTGGTGGGTTCGGAAGAGTTGAGCTTGTAAGGGGTTTACGTTTCAAGCATCTGAGAGAAAAGCCTTTGATTTTTTGTTCTGTTTTATATTCCAGTGTATCTTGGAGGAATGATTAAATTGTTACTGCTCTCTTACCTGTTGCTTTGAATTGAGAAAGTACACTTTTCAGTCTGTATGTTGTATAGTAGCAGGTGCATGCTAGTAAGTAACTTAAGAGCCGCTATTTCAAGCTTCCTACATCACATCCTTTTGTGAATTTTTTTTGATGATGGTAGTTATTGGAGAATGTACCAAGTAAGCATTCCCAAAGGTTATAAAACCTTAAAAAGTGTATTTCCTAACAGGAAAATGTGTGTGTATATACACTAGTGATACATGTACTGTTCATATACTAAAGAAAAGAAGAATGTCTCCTGAGTAAGTGCCAGAGAAACAAATTCATGGTTATAGTTCTGCCCCTTAAACAACTTCACTACCATGTCCGTCTTTGGCCTTTACTATTTTATTTTTGGTTTGCTCAAACTTTTCTATCAGAAAAAGAAAAAAGAAAAGAAGAAGAATGCAAGGGGGTGCTTGAAGAGCAGCCTTCTGTAGTGTTGATCAGGATGGCTGGGAACCCATGACCTGATTTTGGCTGCCTCTTCCACATCACCACCTCTCCACGCTTCCAAGCAGTAGCAGAGTGGTACTGTCATGTCACGTGCTCTGAGGAAACTGTAGAATAGAGATCAGAGGTTGTATTAGATGCATATGGCTGTGAACTCTTGGCAATTACCAAGCCCTTCTCTGCCCAGCAGATTTTTAACCATTCTCTGTACATTAGCCTCCAGGAACTATGCTGACACATCCGTCTGCTGGATAGCCCTGGGCATGAGCAGATCTGCAGTGCTGCCAGGAGACTGGATAGCACACTTCACACCCAGTCAGTACTTCACCTCTGATGGGTGAGGAGGGAGAAACAATCTCCTAATAGGCCAGAGAATATTTGTAGCGTTCCTCCACCATATGGAGTGAGGAGGGCCATTCCCATCTGCAGTGATAATGTTCGCCAAAGACCTTGGCAAGGGGATTGCATTAACAGCCCTGAGATCCGTCTTTCCTATAGTTAGATAATTATAATTGAAACAATATTTTCACTATTGATTTTAAATCATAGGCAGTACTAATGGCAAATGCCAGAACAATATGGGTAGCAACTATTTCTTTACAATTTTATTACATGTCAGTCTGTTTATGGAGTTTTAAGCTCACCTAAAAAAATACCTATTAAATTTTTTTATTTCCTTTTAAGGGAAAATGCTATTTGTCCATGTAGAGCAGTGCTCTGCACTAGAGCTCTGTGTGCTGCTGGAGATGTTCTGTATCTGTGCTGCCCCGTAGGGCAACCACTAGCTACGGTGGCTGCTGAGCTTTTACAATGGGCTAGTGCAATTGAGCAACTGAATTTTGATTTTTAATGAATTAATCTCATGTTACCAGAGGTTGTTAAATTGGACAGTGCAAATTAGATCTTGATTCTGTATGTTTTGTTTTGGAAAAAAAAAATCAAAGAACACTTCTCATGAAAGATTTTCATGAAAAGACTTCTAAACATTAAAAATTCAAAATTGAATAGATTTCTAAACATTAAATCTAACTGCAGTTTTTCTTTTTCAATACAAACATTTTAGAGCCATGTTCCAGCTATGTGGACTCTTGTGGAAATTACAACAAAGTGGAAGTGTGTACCCCTGAATAAACTCAGTTCCCAGAGGGCTAAGTGGCTACAACTACCATGCTGTTTTTTTCATAGACTGATAATTTTAACTCTCCTTACTGAACATGTTTTATATAGATGTCGTCAATCTTTCCTAATAAGTATTGAGCAATCTTTCTCTTCTTATGAAGGTTAAAGTGAAAAATGAGGATGTTGCTTTTGCTATGAAGTGCATAAGGAAGAAGCACATAGTGGATACTAAGCAGCAGGAGCATGTGTACTCTGAGAAGAAGATCCTGGAGGAGCTGTGTTCCCCCTTCGTTGTGAAGTAAGTTGGCATTCGGCTCCCAGAACTGAGGGTGGAAGGCCCTTTCCGTGAGTGTTTCTGTGTAGGAGGGTGGACAGAGGAGAAAGCGGAGGCCCCACTCTGAATTCTACATCCCACTCTCAACAGCAATACATAAAATGTTTCAAGTTTGAGATCTGGAGTCAAACACCCAGGTTCTTTTATTCTTGAGTGTCAGGAAAATGTGGTGTGTGTGTGTGTGTGTGTGTGTGTGTGTGTGTGTGTGTGTGTGTGTGTGTGAAATTAGGTGAAATGCTTTGAATTGATTATTTAGGCCAGACCTACTTCAGACTTTGCTTCCCTCAGGGAACGTGCTGCTGTTGAATTTCTGCTGGAAGTGGCATTTGTCTAGGCTGCCAAGGAGCAACAGACCGTGGCTCTCAGGATGCCTAGATGCCGAAAGTTCCACCTCCTGATAGTTACTGTTTTGTCAGTAGCTATCACCAGAGCTTGAAAAAGAAATATGTTATTCTAGGCCACCGCCATCTTTACTTGTGAAATCATGGGTTATTGGTGTAAGCCAGTTTGTCTTTTCATGTATGGCTTTAGTGTAGCTTTGGTGATTTCTGGGTGATATAAAGTGCCCCTTCAAGAATAGAATTTATACTTTTTGATCAAATACTTTGCAAGAATCTTCCTGCCAATCCATACCCCCCCCCATTTTATTTCAGTATTAAAAAAGAAACATGACACCAGGCAATGCTGGTAATAGGGTCATCCAATTATATTTATATTAACTATGCTCCCAAAATACATCCCCCTTTTTTGTTAACCAATAATTCATTAGTAAACTATGATGAATAGCTTTATTGCATAGAGTAGGTTTTATTATTTACTCATTTTCAGCTCTTTATAAAGTTCTTGGCATGGAATAGGATAGTAATTATATTAAGAATAAATATTAATGACATTTATTGAAAATTAACATGTCAGGCACTCTTCAAAGCAATATATATTTAATATACATATGAAGTGAAACATTTAAAAAGTTATATTTTTATATATAATATATAGACATAAGTATATATTGAATTAATATGTGATCAATAATATCTAATCACTATATAATCAAATGAATATATATTCATTTGATCATCATAATAGAACAATGAGATACATGTTATGATTGACCTTATTGAAGAAGAATAAGAAAAGTGAGATTGCATAGCTATTAAATGGCTGATTAGGGATTCAAGCCTAGGCAGCTGGTTGCAGAGCCCACACTGAACCCCTGTACCAGATTGTTTTTGCTGTCTATGCTCTACTATCTGCTGTAGCCTGGGCATGATGCTAGGGAGAAAAGGGGGTCTTTTGATTAAGACCCAGAAACTACTTTCACTAATATAGAAATACAGTTACCTGCTTGGGTTTCACATCAGGATTGAGGCTGTCATTCCCTCACATTCTGAGGATTGTGGCTCAGCTCCTCTCTGGCAATTGCTCTAGGCAAAGAGAACCCTCTTGCCCATGATCATACTCTCTCTCCAGGTATAGCCTGTGTTTGTGATGGCAGATCTTGAAGCTAGGGCTTTTGTTTATTTCTTCCTCCCTGAAGGTACTGTTCCCAAGTATACTCCCACTAAACTTCTTGCAAACCTCTATCTCAGAGACTATTTCCCAAGACCAACTACAGCATGTAAGACATGAGTATGAATGAGTCTTATGCAATACAAATCTTAAGGGAGGAATATGCAGAGGTCTCTGGGTGTGGGGAAAAAGAAGCCATATTTTGTAGGTGGGATAATGAGCTGCTTTATGAGGAAGATGGCCTCTGAGCTTGGCCTTGAGGAATGGATAATACCTTTACAGTGAAATTGAGATTAAGAAGTTGTCTGTATGTAGAGGGAGGACAGTCTACGTAAAGGGGCCAACATGAGCAAAAGCAAGGCAGCAGGAAAGACTATGGAGTATTCAAGTAGAAAGCCAGGGTAGCTGTAGGACGCTTGGAAGGAGAAGAGGACCATTGTTCAAACTGTTACTGATTATACCCTTAAGCAACCTGAGAAAGATTTAAAACCAGATTTCTAATAACCATGTTTTTATGTCTTCACAGATTGTATCGTACTTTCAAGGACAATAAGTATGTATACATGCTTTTGGAAGCCTGCTTAGGTGGCGAGCTATGGAGTTTATTAAGAGACAGGTAATGAACAAAGATTTTATAAATAATAACTCTTGTCTACTCAAAAAGTGCTCTAAAGGATGTTATATTCATGATCATTTAAAGAGACATGAAGAAAGTCGTTATATAATTCTAAGAAAATAGTATCACTTTGTTAAAATAAGGTACTAATAGTGGTATTTTCTCAGTCAATATTATAATCGTGTCATAGAAACCCTGTAAAGTTGTTATTGTCATTCCCACATTAGAGATGAAATTGTCCCAGGCTTGGGGACAGTGTGAACTATCCCTAGTGACATGTTTAGTATAAGACAGAGTAGATACAAGCCCAGAGGCTTCTGACTGCGAATCTCTAGAATGGAGATAAAGGAAGGAAGGCAGTGGTGAAGCTTTTTCAGCAAAACAGAGTCAGATATCTGCAAAGAGCAGCTTTATAAAAGGGATAGTTTTCATACAATCAAAACCACCATTTTTTTCTGAGCCTCACCCGATTTTCTAGACAATGCAGACTTTCCTAACCAAAAGAGTAGAAAGTGTAAACTTTGCCTCCAATGAGTTCTGTGTTTATTGGGGAACATAATATATAAAATTTAAAAATATTTTGTTGTGTGTGAAAACTAAATATGACAAAGAAATTGGCAGTTTCTAATCGAAGGCAAGTTCAGTATGGTAGACATACTGACATAAGCTTAGAGAAGAGGAGAGAAAGAAAAACATGATGGTAAAAGAAGGACTTGAACCAAATTCTGAAGATGACCAAATGTGGAAAGGCAGAGAGGAAAGGTGATTAATGTAAGATACAGCAGGGGCATTGGGATAGGATTGGATCTCTTTCTGGATGATGAACAGCAGACTTTGAGTAAAAAACAAAGGCAACAGCAGAGGAGATGGGTGGTAGGTTTTTACTAATGTTGGGTTTGAGGAGGGAGGGTTTAATGCCAGGCATTTTGAGAATTACCTGGCCAGTGGTTCTCAACCCTGACTACACATTACAGTCATATGGGGATCGTTTTCAGAGTAAAATGCTGGGCCCTAACACCAAAGACTAGGATTCAGTTCTTATGGGATAGGGTCCAATAAGGCTAAGCATCACCCCTAGGTAATAAGAGACCATTTGAGCATCTGAGTAGAACATGTTGTGTTAGGAATATATTGTTGGATGGATCTGAATGGGGAGAACCTGGTAGTATGAGGAGGCTTGCAAAATGTCTGCAAAAGCATTTGCATCTTCCATCCTTGTTTTAACAGGCAAATTGATTTAGAAAATCTAAATCTATTTTTTTTTTAAAAAGGGGAATTTCTACTTCCTATTAGGCACTGCACCTGATCTTCAAAAAAACACTGTTGAGTAAGTAGTAAACCCGTTTTATAGGATAGGGATCTGAGGATCAGAACAGCTAAACAACTTGCACAAGGATGCAGTGAGTGGAAACAGCAGGAGTCAAAGACAGTCTCCTTCACCCCAAAGACACATCCTTCTATTATACCATGCAGCAAATCACCACCACATTTTAACAATTCAGTATGTAAACTACACACACAGTGCTGGCAGTGGGCAGCTCAAATATCATCAAGGTGCCCCAAATAGGAAGAAGTTATGGTTACATGCTTTACAAACAGGAAATGAGCATGATCAACTGAGTCATTTTTTTTAGTCAAGCAATCAATTACAGACGTCTGGTTCAAGTTGACAGTTGCATTTTCTCCAGTGTTGCATTTCTCCATAAATGTAAAAAAACAAACAAAAAAAAACACATCTTTTGAAAACTTTTAATTTTATATGTTCATATGTAATTACCGGAAACAATTATTTGGATGTGGATGTTTTGATTTTAGTGAAGCAGTCCTTATTTGCATTTAGTATCATCCTACATTTCTTTATGATCAGCAGTCTAATTCATTGGCAGTGAAAGTACTTTTTAAAACACATTTTATTGATTTTTTATACAGAGGAAGGGAGAGGGATAGAGAGTTAAAAACATTGATGATAGAGAACCATCGATTAGCTGCCTCCTGCACACTCCCTACTGGGGATGTGCTTGCAACCAAGATACATGCCCTTGATGGAATTGAACCTGGGACTCTTCAGTCCAACAGAGCTGATGCTCTATCTATTGAGCCAAACAGGTTAGGGTGTGAAAGTACTTTGTTTTGTTTTGTTAATCCTCGCTTGACGACATTTTTCCACTGATTCTCAAAGAGAGTAGAAAGGAGAGGGAGGGATAGAGACATCGATTGGTTGCCTCCCACAAGTTCCCCAATTATCCTGGGATGGAGACTGCAACCAAGGTATGTGCCCTTGACCAGAATGGTACCTGGGACCCTTCATTCTGCAGGCCAATGCTCTATCCACTGATCCAAACCAGCTAGGGCAGTGTAAAGTACTTTTCAGTTTTGCTGTCCTACAAAGCATTTATGTTGCATCAATTTACCAAAACAGTAATCGATGCCTATAACAGACAACAGAGATGTATTTCGGGATCATTAAGAAGGAACATGATTTCATTGCAGAGGCAGCTTTGATGAACCCACCTCCAAGTTCTGCGTGGCTTGTGTGACTGAAGCATTTGATTACCTGCATCGTCTAGGTATTATCTACAGAGACCTGAAGCCAGAAAACTTAATTCTGGATGCCGAGGGCTATCTGAAATTGGTAAGACAAATTATCTGACTTACAGTATCATGCTAGTATTTCCAAACACAGAGTTCTGTGATAGTTGCAATTTCCCTTTAATGTTAATATACCTGTTGTTTTCACTTTGGTGGATTGGACCTTTGAAACCTTGGGAGCAGTGTTACAAACACACTCTTTATGGCCTAGGAATTAATGTTTTGACCTATATATATAAATATTTTAATTTTTTCTTTGTTGATTAAGGTATTACATATATGTCCTTATCCCCCATTGTCCCCACCCCAACCCCCCATTCATGTCCTCACTCCCCAGGTGTCTGTGTCCATTGGTTAGGCTTATATGTGTGCATACAAGTCCTTTGTTTGATCTCTCCCACTTACCCCCACCCTTGACTCCTCCTAGGGACTCACATTATAGAATGCCTTTATAATTGGATTTTGTTAGTATTTTTAAAAAATAATTGTAACTAACTTTTAATAGATTCTTGCTATATACAGGGTGTGGCTATAAAAGATAAGGAAAGAAAATAGACAGGATCCTGCCCTACGATATCCACTGACTGTATAGGGAGAAAAGATACTACATGTATAAATATGGGTAGTTTTTTGTTTGTTTTGTTTTTTAATCTTTCTAAATGATTTTAAAGTACACCCAGGGTTGAGGATCATGGCATTATATGATGGCTCCTTGGGGACAGAGACTTTTCTTGCTATCCATCTTTGTAATCCTCTAATGCCTACCATAAATTCCTTTGCATGCCACATTAAAGAAGAAAATGCTACAGTCACATAAACTGTTTGCAGTAAGAAACTATATTAAAACTGGGCAGTCATAATTTAAGAGAAGTCAAGGCACTTTGTGCCTTAGGAGGTGACCTTGTCAAGATGAGAGACCCAGGCTGAGTTTTCCTGAGTCCATTTTGTCAGTTCCACAAGGACATGAAATCATTTCTGAAGTTAGCACTTATAAGAAATATTAAAAGTTTCTCACATCAGAACTCTTACATATGGGCACTATTATTTAATGAGTAGTGACTATGTATAAAGCTACTGTGTGCTAAACATTTTGCAATTAATATATTTAACACTTGATGACATAGGTTTTCTCATCTACATATTGCAGTGTATAATTTAGTCTTAGGGATTACATTTGTTATCTGTAATTGCTAAGCAATTTCTCTCTCTAGTAAAGGAGTAAAACAAAAGTTCTTTCATGTGAAATCTGGCTGCCTTCCAAGAAACATTTTGATCCATTCAAGGTTTATCTTATCCATGAAAGACAGCTTTGAGAATTGGTGAGGTTCTAACACAAGGCCTCAATCACTCCTCTTCCTCACAATGCCTTCATTGGCTATGTCTCTCATAGCTCTTTAGGGTAAGCCTTTGGGATATTCTAGAAGTAAAACTACCATGAGGGATGCAGATATCTGTTCAATTCATTTTTTTTTTTCATAGCTCTTTTTATTTTTTTGGGGGGGGGTATTTTTTTTATATACTTCTTTATTGATTTTAGAGAGGAAAGGAGAAGGAAAGAGAGAGAAAAAAAAATCAATGATGAGAGAGAATCGTTGATTAGCTGCCTCCTGCACACCCCCTACTAGGATTAAAGCCTACAACCCAGGCATGTGCCCTTGGTCAGAATCAAACCTGGGACCCTTCAGTTCACAGGTTGACGCTCTATCCACTGAGCCAAGCCAGCTAGGGGGCCATAGCTATTTTAAAAATATTAGATAGCATTGTAGTATTTGCAGTCATAAAGATCAATAAATATCTCTCCTGTGTGACCATTGTTATCCATTCTGCTAACTCATTTGCCAACCAGCTAAATGTAGATTAATAACTAAAGCCTTTAGAGATTAAAAAGTATGTGTTGGACATTTCCAACATATATATCAAACTAGATTTCCAGCTATATATCACACTAGATATCCTGAAATCCTCTCACTACAAAATGTCTAAAATTACTGGGTGAAATATGAAAAGCAGTACTATATGCATGGCTGTTTATGAGACAGCACTGGGGTTCTCTTGAGGCTGGGAGCCAAGCTTGAACAGTGGCATAAGATAGAGCTCAAACATTGAAGCTGCTATCTTGTGGGCCCCCATCAATTCTAGGTGGCATGGAGGTTTGATTTTATTAGCTTCACCCTCTGGGAACAGGAGACCAAGTTTTGTGCTTGAGCAGTGTGAGGAGTTGAAACAAAACTTTGCAAGAATCATACAAATTACACCCTCAGGGGAATAGAAAACAAGAAAAAAAATATCTGATGTATAAAGACAGAATAAATGCAAGAAAACATGCTTTTCTTGTTATTGGGCCTTTGGTAGAGGAACAGAAGAATCTTTTCTAAGAAATCTTGGCCACATGGAGGTTGGGTGCCCAGTCTTCAAGGATAGAAAAACCCAAGCAAGAATAAGTGAAACTTGATCCATGTTGGTAGCATGCCCAAGTTTCCAAGAATCAATGTACATTCTTCCTGGAAGAATATACTGTCAGCTCAGGACACAAAGAACTTTCAGAGATAAATTTCTAGAGAACATGAGTTCACATCTACACTAATAAAAGAGACACATGCAAATTAATCATCACTCAATGGGGCTCCCAATCACCCTGCTGTTTGTCCCACAGATCATCCCTGATCGCCAGCCAGGCCTAGGGACACTACCCGTGCATGAATTTTGTGCATCGGGCCTCTAGTTCCATGATAAAAGCTTATTAAATCTAGCTTTTCCCACCAAAGTGCTTAACATATGTTGGTTCTTTTCCCTTAAATATCTTCTACCTCATCATCAATTCACTTATTATGGGAATGTTCCCTTTGAAACCTGTTCTGGTGTCACCACAGATACCCATGACCTTACTAAATTTTAATTTTCTCTTTAATAAGAGGATAATAGTTCCTAGCTCACAAAATTGTAACACTGTTTTTTAAGAGTATAAATATATTATTTAAACTGATGTTAATAGCAATTTTTTAATTCATACTTTCTTCACCAAACATGTGTTGAACATCTGCTGTGTTACAGGCTCTGTAGGGGGTACAAAACGAGTAAGATATAATGCCTCTTCTCAAGGAAGGAGCTGGTCACGCAATCAGAGGATGTTGCCCTAAGGGTGTGATTGTGGAATATAAATAGTGTTAAAGAACCTCATGGGAGAAAGAAATTGGTTCTATAAATATTGCTCAAAGAGGTGGTGCTATATCAGATGAGCCTCCGATCCCCCCCCCCTCCCAGTTTGTTCATGTGCATGCCAAGTTTCTCTTCATCTTGCCCACATTCTACTAAACACTCCAAGTATTTCAGATGAGTCACCATGCCCCCACACCGATTCCTGAAGGATTCACCCATCCCATTCCTTAGCCTCCCTCACTCTCACTTCCATTCAGGGGAAGCCATCCACTGTTGCCTGTTGGCAGGCAGGATGAACAGATTCCATTATACCCTTGTCTAGACTTGGGCAAAATAAGTGCCCTCAAAATGCCACATAAATATATTTTTTTGGAATGTTATGTCTCCATCAATCAAATATATTTTTTTGGAATGCTATGTCTCCATGAATCATTGGGCTGTATTAGACTGGTCATTTTGATTCCATTTTTTTTAAAGTGACCAGGAGAACTAATATCTGACAAATTTACTGACCCAGAGAGAAACTTCTGGGAAGAAGCTAATACTGGACACCAGCTCCAGGAAGCCACATGCTAATTTTTCTATTTCGGAAGGATGCAGTCATCATTGCAGATTTAGAAACATCTTAATACCTCGTTTCTTAAAATCTTTGGCGACTTCATGTTTTTCCAGCATACTATAAACTACCTTTAATAATGAGGATTTAATAGAGACAAGAAAAACACCTGTGTGCAGCTTCTCCGGACATTCTTCCTGAGAGCTCAGTTTTGCTAGTAGAATTTTTCAAAGGGGTATGGTTTTTCTTGTCTTCTGGAATGACTCCTTTAAAACATTAGCCCTGCCTTTCACACTTAATACTGTAATGGCCTCCTAGGGAAAATAACCTAAAGCTCTTCCTGTGGCTTACCAGTTTACTACGTATGGCCCAGCCACACTGGTCTTCTTGTCTGTCCTCAAACTTGCCATGGGTGTTCCCAAAGGCTAGGGGCTGTGCGCTAGCTCTTCCTCTGGCAGAATCACTCTTGCTCAGATTTTCACTGAGCTCTTTCCTAGTTCTCTCATATTTCTGCTCCAATCTACTCAAAAGTTACCTCCTCAGAGAAGTATTTCCTGATCGCCCTATTTAAAGTACAATCCAGATTGCTTTCTGTTGCTAACACTGCTATAGGTTTCTTCATAGCATATGTCACTACTATCTGACGTTATTATGTATGATGTTACGTTTTTATGTTTGTTCTCTTTCTCTTCAATGTATGCTCAAGGAGGACTGGGGCCTTGTGTATATCCTGACGCTTGCTACATAGTGGTACTCAATAAATGTTTGTTGAATGAATAAAGTAGAGATCTTCCATTTCTGTTGCCCAGAAGGGGGACGTTTAAATAAAAAGACTGAAGCTTTGTGGTGGTATCCTTCATTGTACAAGACAGAGGTAGTGTGAATTTTTACAATCAACTGAAGGACTTGTATGCATGCATATAAACAACCAATGGATACAAGACATGGGGAGGAAGGGGGCAGGTGAAGGCACATGCGGAGGGGGGGTGTAGGGGAGGCTGGGAGGATGTCAAGAGAGGGAAAAGGAGACATATATACTACTATTTGCAATGCTTCAAACACTAAAAAAATAAAACAAAACAACAACAAAAAAGAAACTATACAGAACTGGACATCAGAAGATCTGGGCATATTAGGCAAATCTAATATAAATAGATCTGCATGTCAGTTTCCTCTGACTAAATATATTAAAGTTGATAAGCTCAAAGGATATAAAAAAAAGAGGTAACTTTTCATAACTCTTTGAATCTTCTTTAAAATATATTTTTTATTGATTTCAGAGGGGAAGGGAGAGGAGCCGGGAGAGGGAGAAACATGAAAGATGAGAGAGAATCATCGATCGGCTGCCTCCTGCACATCCCGCACTGGGGATAGAGCCTGCAACTCAGGCATGTGCCCTTGACCAGGAATCGAATCATGACCTCCTGATTCTTAGGTTGATGTTCAACCACTGAGCCATGACGGCCAAGCAAGTCTTTTTATTTTTTATTTTTTTAAAATATACTTTATTGATTTTTTTTAAGAGAGGAAGAGAGAGGCGTAGAGAATTAGAAACATCAATGAGAGAGAATCATCAGTCAGCTGCCTCTTGCACACCCCCTACTGGGGATGTGCCGGCAACCAAGGTAAATGACCTTGACCGGAATCGAACCCGGGACCCTTCAATCCACAAGCCGAGGTTCTATCCATTAAGCCAAACCAGCTAGGGCAAGCCTTTAAATCTTAATGGAATTATTGCCATCTCTTTGGGCCAACATGCAGATATTACAAAAGCAAAACTAGCTGCTCAAATTAAAATATACAACTTTTAGAGCTAGAAAAATTCTCCTAAATATCTAATAAACTTCCAATCTCTATAAAAGGGGAAAAAATAGCAATGAGGAAATGAGTTGAAAAGCTGTTACAAAAAAAAAAAAAAAAAGGTAATATTTCCACATAGGCATACATTAAAAATGCAATTATAAGCATTACTTTCTTGGTTCTTAAAGTTGAGTCTTTATAAAATTACCTAGGATTTTCATAATGGCTCTTCCTCTGAGGAATAAGTAGATATGCTAATCTCAGCTGGTTACAAATTTTAATTTCATAATATCCCCAGCCATCTCTTACAATCCTGTGAATCACTCTATGTATTGTAGCTGAAGAAAAAAGCAAAAGCCCACTTCTGATTAGGCTGTTTAAATTCCCTTTTTCTAATAAGGAAATCCTCGCTGTGATGTGTGATAAATACTAAAAAGTGTTAGTAAAAAGGTAAATTTCTAAGATTGATGTGAGGTAAGATTTTAAACGTTACTATCTGGATGAATAAATGAGGGCTGAATTTTATAGTTCACTGATTCAGACTTTTCTAAGTGAGGACCTATTTTGATATGCTGGCCTTATTTATATAGGTTCTTAGCCAAGGTTGCTGCCATACTATTGAGATAGTGTGGGTAATGAAGCTATTAAAATGTGCATCTTGAAGCACAGGTATAATTTGTGTGACTATTTACTTGAGGGAGGTGGAGGGCAGTTTTATTAAAATAATATCTGTACGTATTGGAGATGAAAAATATGTGCTAAATAACCCCTGTGGGAGGAAACCAACTGTTTGCTTTGCAGGGCAGGGTGTCAGTCGTGGACACTGCCCTGATTCAGTGAGTGGGGCTTCTGTCGCCCCAGCCTTCTTTCCTGTCTCTGTTCTGTGCACAAAGTCCATTGAATAGAGTCTCAGAGAAGTGGAGGGGCCTATTCTGAAAAGGCAGAGGAGGGCAACAGCCATTCATTAGCCTGGGAAAGTTTCTAATCATCAGTCAGGGCCAAGCTCCGGTGCCACCTCCTGGCATCTTCCCCAACCTTCTGCCTCATGCTCCAGATATATGATCATTGAGCTCTCTTGTGTTTGTATAATCTTCTACTATATCATGTATAACATGGTATAACATTAATCACATATGGGTAAGTATTCTCAACACACTGAGCTTCTCGTAGGCAACTCTGTATCTGTATGCTTATTCAAGAGCCTGTCCTATACTGGGTGCTGGCTAAATTAATATTATATTCAGAATAAATAAGTTAATGCAGGTGCTACTCACCATCACCACTGAAAGGGTACAGAATCTAGCCAAAGGCCAGATGGGATGATTCTGGCTTTTTCTTTGGATTGTCAAAGTTGAGAGGGTGCAGACATTGTGCATAATGGTTTTTAAAGACTGTCAAGAATTTTTTTTGGGGAAAAAAAGAATTTTAAATCCCCTTTTTTCAACATTAATCCTTTTCCAAACTCTCAATTCTGATATTATTTTTTCCTCTCTGATGGGCTTTCAAGTCAATGGCTTCCCCCTTCTCGCCTCTTCCCAATGAATGCCACCATTGGTTTGAAAATGACTTGAGTCCTGCTTGCTCTGAGCTGTACACATGTTGTTCTGATCTCTCCTTGCTAAAGCTTTCCTCTAGGGATTACGAGTGCAGATGTGTGTCCAGTGTAATTAGATTTACACTTGGCCCTATAAAAGAATAAACAGCAGGGTCAGTGTGTGTGTGCGTGTGTGGGGAAGAATGAGAGAGAGAGAGAGAGAGAGAGAGAGAGAGAGAGAGAGAGAGAGAGAGAGAGAGAGAGAGAGAGAGAGAGAGAGAGAGAGAATGAGTGTGTGTGTGTATAGGGAAGGATGAGAGTGAGGAAGATTGGGGAAGTTAAGCGAACTCTTAAAAGGAATGTGAGTTTTATGGTCTCTGAAAATTTCCTTGACATTTTTTTCCAGGTTGACTTTGGATTTGCTAAGAAAATAGGATCTGGACAGAAAACATGGACATTCTGTGGGACCCCAGAGTATGTAGCCCCTGAAGTCATTCTCAACAAAGGCCACGACTTCAGTGTGGATTTCTGGTCCCTGGGAATTCTAGTGTATGAGCTCCTGACTGGCAAGTAAGTCCTTTCAAATTGTGTTCTGCCTCTTCTGCAAAGAAGTGCCAAAATAACTAATGATTTAAGAGCATAACATTTTGGAATGTGATGCCTTTTCATCTCTACATTATTTCACACATGGTATGCTTGATAGTTTATAATATAGAGAAAAGATACAGGAAGGTAAAAGAAAGGAACACAGAATGCTATGGTTTATCTAGAATGGCAAGCCCTGTTAGTATAGATAACATATTAAATGTGTGAAGGTTTTGATAATTCAGCATAAGATTAAGAAAAGGAATTAAAGTTGTAGGCTATATTATTGTTTCATGTTGTATATTTTTGTAATTGATAAAGTAGTAATTATGTTTCAATTGAATTCATTGATCAATTAAACCAAATTTAGCCATGTTCTTCTATCTTACCAATAAATCATTAACCAGAAATGCTAAGAGAAAGCTACATTGCTGGAATTAAATTTCATTCCCCTTGTCATCTGCTTTCTAGAGGTGCTAATTAACAAAAACATGACACAGCAGGGGTCTTAGCAATTAAAATTGAATTGTCATTCCCAAAAAGATTAAGGGGGTATATTAATGAATCCAAGATTCCAAATATTCAACATGCACACACACATATTTATATGTACACATGCGCACCCACATACATATATAGGCTATATGTAATATCAACTCATATTTGTAAAATAAATTAGTTTACAGAGCACTTACCTGTGTGAAAACTTGCATGGAAGGTAAAGCAGAACTCTTTATCACCATTTTACAATTTAAATTTTGATTATTTTATGATTTAGATATTATAGATTAGAACACCAGGGCAGTGAGCTATCTGTATAAGACTGGGGATTTCATCCCAGATCTTCTGACTAAATGTGATGCATTTTTCATTACATATATGTCATGCAGGATAGTGCATGGACATACCTACCAGATTTGGATCAGTTATCTTTCTAATTCTGTACCTCCACTGTTCATTTACTGATTTGATCATCCTTATAAACATTTATAAGCAAATATTCTCAGCCTTAATTTCAGGAAGGATTTGCATGTGGAATGGCATAAGAAAATACCAGAATGAACCCAATGATGGGAGTTCGTCTCAACACATATTTTACAAAAAGAGTTTTACAGAATTTTCTTGAACTTTTTACATTACAAATTTTAATGTCTAGTTACCTATGACTATATTCTATATCCTTGTCAACATGCATTGAGCAAATGGGTATGAAAGATTATATTATCTGTAATAAATTTCAAATATTAATTGCTTAAAATTTTGAAGGAAAGAAGGGAAGAATATTCAGATAGTCATTCAGAGAAAAAGTTGCTTAAGGTCTTGAAAAACAAGGAATTCTATTTCATGAATTTGTTTTCTCATCCATGAAAAATTTGTTAGCTGCATTTCTAAGAGACACATGATATTTCCCTTACGTCACTGAAGAATAAACATTTCAATCTTCACAAACTGGGATAAATTGTTAAAGGTGAAGGAAAATAAAATGAGGGAATAGAGAAGAGGGGAGGAAATCCCAGTAATTTGGAATTGCTAAAGTGCATTGAGCTATCATAAAAAAGTTGGTAAATGTTTCCAGGGTAGAGCACAAGAAAAATTAATTTTATATGCCCTGAATTTCTAGATTCAGGAGGTAAATGAAAAAAATAACAAAAAAAAAAATCCAATATAGTTGTAAATATATAAACGAGTTGAAAATATTATAGCCATGTTTTTTGCTTCCTACCTCCTTTTCTTTTCCTTTTTAAAAAAAAATATATTTTATGGATTTTTTTTTTTTTTACAAGAGAAGAAGAGAGAGGGACAGAGAGTTAGAAACATCGATGAGAGAGAATTATTAATCAGCTGCCTCTTGCACATCCCCTACTGGGTATATGCCCTTGACTGGAATCGAACCTAGGACCTTTCAGTTTGCAGACTGATGCTCTATCCACTGAGCCAAACCGGTTTTTACACCTACTTTTCTTTATGAGCGAAACAGATTGTTGAAAATTAGCACACTGACCTGATTACAAGTTTATTATACAGAGTGGAGACTCTCAACATCAAAGAGTTCTCAAGCATGACTGACAAACAGCAAGCAGTTCATGAACATCATCTTTCTTTTTCAAATATTAAAGGGCACAGTAGAATAGATTATGAAGTGTTTATTAAAGCAAAGTGTATGCATTAAAATGGTATTCAATTCAATTCCCAGTTCTTTCTTTCTCATCTTAGCAACTCTTCCCTTGAAATACTCTCCTCACGGGACCTCTCTCTCTCTCCCATTTCTTTCCCATACTTGTGGCTCCATCTCAGTTTCCGTTACTGGGTCCCCTTCATCATCCTGACTTCTAAGTATTGAGCCACTTGTGGTTTTGATCTCTCTTCCATCTGGGTGATCATCAAGCTCCACAATCCTAAATACTGAATGGTAACTTCTCAGAATCATACCTCCAGCTCTAACCTCTTCCATAAATGTCAGACTCAGAAATTTAGCTGCCTGCTTAGCATCTCTATTTTATGTTGAAACATAACTCTTCATTCCTCCTAATGTGCTCTGCACCCCTACAAACCATCCAAATCATTCTTTTCTGAATCAATATAGCTCCATTCAGTAGGTCAAAACACTAGGCCATCATTCCCAAATTCTTTCTTTCTACCTTACATCATCTTCACCTATCAGCCAATCCTGTTTGCTTTGCTGTCTAAATAAATCCAGAATCCAGCCACATCTCATTACTTTCACCACTACCATCCTAGTCCAGGCTGCCAGGCCTGCCTTCCTCCACCACTATCACCATCACAGTTTATACTCCACACATTAAAGAAAGAAAGAAAGAAAGAAAAAAAAAGGTTTAGTATGGCTGCTGTAAATTAGATCATTTGACTCACAATATACCCCAGGTACTTATCATAGCCCAGAAGATCTATATAACATTGTGACAATCTCCTAAATTCCTTTCTCCTGCTTATTCTCTCCACTGGCAACACTGCCCTCCTCACAGCTCCAAGAACAACCCATACCCATCCTGATTCATGGCCTTTGTATTGCTGTCTTGGAATTTTCTGACCACCGCTAAAGGTGTGGTTCATTCACTCCTTCTCTTCATTCATACTTCTGCTCCACTGTCAACTTATGAGACACCTCTCTGTTGTCCCCCACTTTTTCTTTTTAGTGATTATCAACAGGTGAGCAATTACTTGTATGTATAATTTGTTAAGTGATGTGAAATTGATGAAATTATTTTCTACCATTTCTCCAGACTTGTCATAGAGCAACTAATGCAAGAGAAAGGAGGAAGAAGGAAAGAAGGGAGAAAGAGAAGGAGGGAGGGAAAGAGGGAAGGAGAGAGGGAGGGAGGGAGAGAGGGAGAGAAGGATACAGGGGTAAGGGAGGGAGGGAATAATGAAGGGTGGGAGGGAAGAAAGTCTTAGTTGTACATCTATCTCAGAGCCTGGTCCTAGTGTCCTATTTTGTCTTTTCTCTAGCCCACCATTTTCTGGGACTGACCAAATGATGACCTACAATTTGATCCTCAAAGGAATTGAAAAAATGGATTTTTCCAGAAAAATAACAAGAAAACCTGAGGATTTGATTAGGAGGCTTTGCAGGTGAGAATGACACTAGTAGAAACCTCTTATTCTTGGGAAAGTGTGAAGATTTCTTATTTTTGTCTCTGCACATTTTAAGTTAGATATATATTTACTTTCTGTACTTTTCTCTGTAGTTAAATCATAATTAAGGAAAATTCTTTTCAGTGTTGCAGTCTATACTGGAAGTTTAAATTTACCTTATGTTAAAGAATCACAGAGATTTAAAATTTTCAGGTTACTTCAGGAGTCATTCTTATCTGTTAGAGCAAAATGGAACCACTAACCTTAGATAATAAAAGAGTAATCCTATATAATAAAGAGGTAATATGCAAATTGACTAACACTCCAATACACAAGATGGCTGCCCCACGTGGTCAAAAATGGCTGCCCCCATGTGGACACAAGATGGCCACCACAAGATGGCCAGCAGGGGAAGGCAGTTGTATGCAATCAGGCCAACAGCAGAGGGCAGTTGGGAGGGGCCAGGCCTGTAAGGGAGGGCAGATGGTGGTGAAGAGGTCTGCAGGAGAGGATAGTTAGGGGTGACCGGGCTGGCAGAGGAAAGCAGTTGGGGGTGACCGGGCCTGTAGGGAAAGATAATTTGGGGAGACCCATGCCTGCATGGGAAGGCAGTTGGAGACAACCAGGCCTGCAGGGGTGGGCTGTTGGGATGGGATAAAACCTGCAGGGGAGGGCAGTTGGGGGGACCAGGCCTGCAGGGGTAGGCAGTTGGGGGTGACCAGGTTGGCAGGGGAGCAGTTAGGTATTAATCAGGCTGGCAGGGGAATGGTTAGGGGGTAATCAGGCTGGTAGGCAGAAGTGGTTAGGGAAAATCAGGCAGGCAGGCAGATTAGCAGTTGAGAGCCAGCAGTCCTGGACTGTGAGAGGGATGTCTGACTGCCTGTTTAGGCCTAATCCTAAGATTGGGCTAAAAGGGGAGTCGGGCATCGCTTGAGGGATTCCAGATTGGAGAAGGTGCATACTAGGCTGAGGGACAGCCCCCTTCCCCCAACACCAGTGCATGAATTTTGTGTATCGGGCTTCTAGCTAATTTATAATCTTGTTATTTTGAGAGAAAAACCAATGGTAATTTTTAAGGGTTACTATATGCGCTCTTTCAATTTTTATTTTTTTTTACAAAGCACTCTTCTAGCCTTATTTTATTTTATTATTTTTTTTTATTGAGGTATAATGGGCATATAATATTATATTGGTTTTTCATGTACAATGTAATGACTTGATATTCATAAACATTGCAGAATGATTATCACAATAAGTTTAGTTATCGTCTGTCACCATACAGTTATAAAAAAAAATTTTTCTCTCTTGGAATGAGAACTTTTAAGGTTTACTCTCTTGACAACTTTTAAATATTGGCTACAATATTATTAACCATAATCACCATGGTGTAAATTATGTCATCATAACTTATTTATTTTACAACTGGAAGTTTGGACTTGATCTCATTCACCCATTTTGTCCACCTCTACCTTACTCCCCTCTGGCAACTTCTATTTTGTTCTTTAAATCTATGGATTTTGTTTTGTTGGTTTATTTGTTTTATTTTTAGATTCCCCATATTAGTTATATCCTACAGTACTTATTTCACTTAGCATAATACCTTCATGGTTCATCCATGTTGTAAATGACAAGATTTATTTTTTTCTTTTTTTTTCTGCCTAAATAGTATTCCATTATATATATCTTCTTTATCTGCTATCCATTGGTGAACATCACATCTTCTTTATCTACTCATCCACTGATGGACACTTAGGTTGATTTTATAACTTGGTTATTATCTATATGAATAAAAGGCTATGTGACCGTCCATAGATCCATCTGACCGATGGGTACATATGGTGTGCATTAGCAATTTAAAAATAAATGTTGAATTGTGCATGTGTGATGCATATAAAGTTCTCACTGGTGCCAAGTGCACGTGTTTTACTTTTATAATCTATATTATATATTCTATTTTGACATGTAATATTTTGCAATAATGTAATTTTTGCATGAATCTTTCTTCTAATTAATTTCCTTTCAATGTGCACAAATCTATGCACTGGACCATTAGTAAATAATATTATAGTGAACATAGGAGGCATCTGTGATTTTGAATGAGTGTTTTTATTTTCTTTGGATAAATACCTAGAAGTAGAATTGTTGGATCATATTATTATTCTATTTTTAATTTTTGAGGAACCACCATACTGTTCTCCATAGTGGTTATACCAATTTATATTTCTAAGAGCAATGTGCAAGGGTTCTCTTATCTCTATTTCCTTGCCAACACGTTATTTGTAGACTTTTTGATAATAAGCATTCTATCAGGTATAAAATGAAATTTCATTGTGGTTTTGATTTGCATATCTCTGATGGGTAATTATGTTGAACACCTTTTTATGTACCAGTTGGCCATCTGTATTTGAAAAACATCTATTTAGATTTTCTGCCCATTTTTAATTGCTTTTTCTTTTGCTATCAAGTTGTATGATTACTTTATACATTTTGGATATTAACTCCTTATCAGATATGTGATTTTTAAATATTTTCTTTCATTCTGTAGGTTGTCTTTTCATTTTGTTGATGGTTTTCTTTGCTATGTAAACACTTTTTATTTTTATGTAGTTCCATTTATTTATTTTTGGTTTTGTTGCCTTTGCTTTTGGAGTCAGATCCAAAAAATCATTACCATGAGATTACTACCTACTGTGTTTTTTAAAGGAGTTTTAGGATTACAGCTTTTACATTCAAATCTTTAATCCATTTAGAGATATCTCTCTCTGTGTTTGTGTGTGGTAAAAGATAGTATTCTTTTGCATGTGGTGTCCGGCTTTCCCAACATCATTATTAAAGAGACTATCTTTTCCCCATAGTATATTCTTGCCTCCTTTGACATAAATTAATTGTTCATATGTACATGTGCCTATTTCTTGGCTCTCTATTCTGTTCCGTTGATCTATGTGTCTGTTTTTATGCCACTATTACACTGTTTTGATTAATGTAGCTTTGCAATATACAATAGTTTGGTGGAGTTATTAGGGTTTTCTACACATAAAATAATGTCATCTGCGAATAGTAACTGTTTGACTTTTCCCTTACCAGTGTGGAGGTCTTTTGTTTTTCTTTCCTAATCACTCTAGTACTTCTAATGCTATCCTATATAATAAAAGAGTAATATGTAAATTAGCCATCAATCCACTACAAAAATGGCGGCGCCCATACCAGATGCTGGCATCATTGCCCCGGCAATGGGAGCCCAACGTATGCTTCTTGGCCGAGGAGGGAGAGGTGGGGTCTGGCCAGAGGACTGGGAGCCGGACTCTGAGCTTGCATCACCAGTGGCAGCGCGAGCTCTATGTCAAAGCCATGGCCGTGAGGCAGGAGGAAAGGAGCCTCTGGGGCGAGAGCCCAGAGTCCGGTGCCCGGAGACCACACCCCGGCCTGCCTTGCAGCGGGGGAGACGGGGGCGGCAAGGGGCCTGTGGAGCCCCCAGCTCAGCATCCCCGCGGCAGGGGAGGAACCAGGAAAATGGATCTTTCCAATTCCTGATGCTGACAGAGTCCTATGGATACCGGGGTCCTCCACCTGCAGTCTCCAGTCACAGACTTGAAGCCCTCTGCCAGCAGTCTAGACAAGACCATCATGGCGCCTCCGGGGGTGGGGTGGGGGGTGGGATTGTCCAGCGGGCCCACTATAGACATCAAATCACTGCCTCTGATGCTGCTCCCCCACCCCCCACACACTCACAAGTATTGATAGTATTGTCCAAAGAGGCGACTCCTGAGGCAAGGCTCCCATGGCAGCTGATGCTCACCATGCCAGGTGTGGAAGGCAGACCTTCATGCCCAAGCCCCTGAGTACCGGAGCTGCAGGGTATCATAGGCCAGGGCCCTGAGGAGGCCCCAGGACAAGCATCTTCCCAGAGACTGTGCATAAGAAGGCGAGGAACCTCTGGCTAGGTGCGGCCGGGGTTGAGGGAACTGTTCAGCTAGCTTTTAGGTCTTTTTCAGGGAGAATTACTGCATATGTAGTTGTAGATTCGGTGAGTCCACGGGAAGAGTTGAGTTTAGGTTCTTCCTGCACCACCAACTTGGACAGCGGCCCTGGCCTTATTTTCAATTACTCCCAAATTTCTATCTACCATTAAAAATAATTTATTGGGGAACAGAAGAGTTATATAATTTTGTTTGAATTTTACTTTGTTGCTGTTTCCCCCCTCCACCCTTGCACAGTTGAACTTAAAAAGCATGAAAATTTAATAAATACAGAACTTGAAACCTAGCTGTGGGTTGCCAACAGAAATTTCTGCATGCTTCCAGCTGAGGTGTAAATGATTCTCTAAAGCTTTATCTGATTTTCTCAGCAGAGTTGGTAAAATAGCCCCCTCCTGTTCTTTTACATATTCATTTATAGTGCATTTAAAGCACTAGTAGATCTATAGATATAGATAGAAATATAGATATGTACATAAAGATATAAGTATAGATATATGTTTATGTTATATGTTATTATTATAGATATAGATGTAGATATATTCCTAACTCTAACTTGACAGTAGCTCCCCTAGAGTATGTGCCTCTTAACCCCTTCTACCCAGATGCCTCGTCTATGAATATTGTTGAATACGTTAATGAAATAATAAAGAAATGTTAAATTTTAAAATTTACTCAATCATAACTTTTATTAACCATCTTTTAACAATTATTACTTTAGGCAAAATCCAACAGAAAGGCTTGGAAATCTGAAGAATGGAATCAATGACATTAAGAAACACAGGTACATAGTTACTTCTTTGCTCAGAAAAAAATATAGAAATTTATAGAAAACTGTGCTAATCTTGAAGCTTCTCTCAGTAAGCTACAAGGGTTCCTTTACACACTCTCAGTTTTTCTTTTTTGGCATTTTACAATAATTTGTGTTTTACTAGATGCAGTCACAATAATCATTCTCAAAATGATTTTTCTAATGCTGGAAATTCATATCATAAGCTTAAAACAAGTTATAAAATCATATCCTCAAGTTATAGCAACTTAGTTTTTTATCTACTGCAATCTTTATTTTAATTTTAAAATCAGCTTAGTTTCTGTAAATGAATTGTTCTAATTTTCACATTTGATTTGTAATTAAAATAGAATATAGTTATTGTTGATATTCAAGAGAATTGATCAGCTAAATTAACCATTAAGCAGTACTGCATTTCAGTTTTTATTAATATTATACATTTATTTTAAGTGTCATTTTTCTTTCACCATCTTTCCAAATTCTGAAGCCTCATGTTGTGTTTTACTTTTTGGGTAAAGTACATTGATTTCCCAAAAACAATATTTTGACCTTATGTAGTAATCTCACATGGACCTTTTCAGTTCTGTGAATTTCTAAATCTCTCCTTTAGAACCGTAGAGAACTTCCATGAGATAGCCTTTCTCAACTGGTTATATGTGGAAGTTCAAGCCTTTAAGATTTTTGTTTCAAATCCATACCTTGCTAAATTCTCTAGTCCTCAAGATGTTTTAATTTTGCTTATGCTTTACAGATATAATACATCACCTATTGCTAGTATAAAAAATAAATATGAGAATTTCATTATTGAAAACCTTTGAACACACTGATGTGTTCACTTTCAGAAATGAAAACACCTCTCAATATTACATTCCTCTCTGGATATTTTTACTGAAGACTTAGGGTACATCTACTCTGTGTGAAAATAAAGGGGAAATGCTGCTGGATAAAAACACTATTCATTTTTCTAACATTGATGATGCAGCTGCCAACCCTGCTCTATCTATTCATGAACTTTCTTGAAAAAATGCCATGTATTCAACATTGTAAAGAGGGAGGGAGGAAGGGAGAGAAGGAGGGGAGGGAGGGAGGGAAGAAGGGAGGGAGGGAGGGATATCTGTGGATTTTATAGACATTAAAATGTTTAGAGTATTTTGTTGTTCTTTAGATTACCTTTGGATTACCTTCAGTGTAATGTTTATTACTTGTCTTAGATTCCAATGTACCATTTTCATACAAGCTATTACCACAACTTTCTATCGCATTATAATATGACACATGGAACACACCATTCATATGGAACAAATAAGTGTTCTGCCAATTAAAGTTTTCCTTTTAATATATTTCCCCTCATTATTTGATTAAAAAAGCATCTTCATGTTTTTCTTTTTTTCTTTGGGATAATTGGGGAACAGAGTGATAGAATTGTTAATAGATTTCAGGGTGTTTTTTTTTTGTTTTGTTTTATTTTAATTTACCTGAGGCTCATTTAAATGTAGCGTCAAATTGTGATTGAACACACATGCTAATTGATGCCAGAACATTTTCTCACCTTAGCATCGTAATGAAGAGTTTTCAATTTTTTCGTTGTATGGATTAATTTGTTCTCTTTTTAAGAGGCAGGATGTTGGTTTTTTTTTTTGTTTGTTTGTTTGTTTGTTTGTTTGCCACGTATCTGTATAGTCAGAGAACAATGTGTAGGGTAGAGTGCACTAGTAAGATGTATCAGATTTACACAGTGCCTTATGGTAAGCCCAGAGGGGCAAAAGAAACCACAAAAAAACCACATACACACCCCACCTTATTTTATTCTACTTTCATAGTTTTTTGTTTGTTTGTTTGTTTTAAGATATAAAGTTGGGGGAGGGAGTCCTGAAAAATAGATCTCTCTCTGCCTTCAAATAGAAGTAGTAGTCTAAAATCTTCCACAAGTCCCCAAAGTATATAGCTTCTCTACCCAGTTTATTATTCTCAATATTAAAAAAAAAAAAAACTTTCTAAAATTTGCCATCAGATTTTTCCATTCTTCTCCAAAGTAAAGCTTTTATCATTTTCTTGGAGAACTATTCATTTTCACTTTGTATTTAAAAACAATGCAGTATGTTTGCCCATTGTCTTTAATCATCTTTCTTAAAAATAAAGTTTCTCCCTTCCCTGTTTATGGGCTAACCTATTAAACTAGGCACCAATTATGTCTCCCGACACTTCTCTGAGAAAAGAGATAATATACTTGTAGGGTACAATTAAATCTTTCCCGTTGGTAGAGGAATAATTTGTTTTGAGTGTCTTCTCATTATCTTTATTATTTCTAGTCTTTAAAATTACTCTCAAGAATAGCTTCAACAAGTCTTCTAAAAATAAAGAAGCAATTTCTGTGCTGTCGCTGCTAATATTTCTTTGGTGAATATTTTTCACACATGAGTACATGCTGGCATGTGCACTACTTAAAATTTGGTTAGTGTCAAAAGGCCAAGTGTTAAGTGAATAGCCACTCATGTCAAATAAATAATGCCATAAGTCAAATTGTAACAAGTACTCAGCAAGAAATGCATAGGCTCTTTGATACAGTAGAGTTAACAGTAATGATTTTTGTTAATATTTATCAAGTAGCTTCTGGGAAGAGAGCATTGTAAAGTATGTTAAAAGGAATTGTGTCAGTGTTTAGTGTCAAATGAAAAGAATCTGCAGAATGGGAAACCTGAAAATCCTTAAAATGGACCATTAGTATGTGCAAAGAAGCCGATGGGTGGATCAAGGAGAGGACGTCTGTGGTTTGGTAGCGAGAACAAGGGAATCCGTACAGCTGGGATTGCTGCTTGACTCCCACTCTTTGACTAGTGTCTCAGTAGCTTGTTCCAAAATGGCACTTTGGGGTAAGAATGACACCTGAAATGGAATGTTCTAGAACCTGTCCTCGCTGGTGTTTTTTCTACTTTTTTTCTTCCTAAATTTAGGCATGCAGTGGGAAATCCAGTCAAGGATTGAACCAAAACCCACTCCAGGGATGAGAGAGACTGAAACGGATAAAAGAGTATAATTTCTGGTGTGGCCAATAGACAGAGAAATGTGTCAGCTCCTGAAGCCTCACACCCCCACAACCCCAGTCCCATGCTCTCCCCCGTGACCATGCTCCACATAGTGGTCAGAATTATTTTTTGAAAATACATCTAGATTGTATCATTTACTTAGAACTTTTTATTGGCTTCCTGTTATGCATAAAACTCTAGTTCCTTACTGTGTCCTACAAGGCCTTACATGGTTTGGCCTCTAGCCATTTTTCAGACATAATTTTTTCCTAGTTTTCCCTGAATTCACTACACTGAAGTTCATTCCATCCACTTGGAAGACTCTGGCCACAGATCTTCCTATGGCTTCCCTCTTCTTTTCATTTTGGCTTTATTTCAAATATCCTTTCTTCAAATACCACTCTCACTAAAACAGCCTCCTCTAACCCATCCCCATCCCCATCCCCGTCATTATTGCTATTTTCTCTTTAATTTTCCTAGTATTATTAGTACCTAAAATTCACTCAAGTATTTATATTGTTTCCGTGTGTGTGTGTGTGTGTGTGTGTGTGTGTGTGTGTATGTTTCTTTCACCTTTCACCAAAATCAAAGCATCTTAAAAGCAGGGCCTTTGTTTTTCTTTCTTTCTTTGACGTCTTGGAGCAAACTGACTTTTCATTAACATTTTGGTTCATAACTGATGCCTGACCTGACATCGGTGTCCCAATAGAAAAGATCAGTGGATCTAGAACAGTAATATCCATGTTCCTTATAAGATTCCAAGAGACCAAGTACATTGTGTCTGAGTGCTGTGTTTCTAGCCCACAATGCTTTACATGTGTCCTAAAGACTCAATCAGCCTTTTTAGATTAGTGATGTGGAAGCAATAAATTAAAAAACTTCATCTGGCTATCAGCTTGATTCCATTACAGATTACTGTAAAGTACTTTTTAATCTTGGAGCCTCTTAGATCCATGTGAGTAGGAGTATTGCCACCACAGTGTGACATCACAAGACACTATAGTAAGAAGTCCTGTGTAAGTATATTCTCTTGTAGAGTGATTCAGTTATTCAAAAGACATAGTGAGGTCCTGTTCTGTGTCAGTTGTTAGGGACACAGAAGAAAAGAAAGAGACAAAAACCACTGCCTCCTGGAGCTTGCATTCTAGTGAGAAAGACAGAAAATGAATAATATAATTAAACTAGAGGCCCAGTGAACAAAATTAGTGCACTAAATGGGTCCATCAGCCTGGCCTATGCCCTCTTGCAATCCTAGAGCCCTTGGGAGGTGTCCAACTGATGGCTTAAGCCTGGCTCTTGGCTGAGTCGAGCTCCCCCAGTGGGAATGCACTGACCACCAGAGGACAGTTCCTGTGTTGATTGAGTGGGATCGGGCCAAAACTGGCTCTACAACAATCCCCAAGGGGGTCCTGAATTGTGAGAGGGTGCAGGCTAGGCCAAGGGACCCCACTGGTGCTTCATCCAGGCCAGAAAGCGATACAGGAAGTTGGCCAGCTGGGAAGGAACCAAGAGAGGGCTCCAGGACATGTCTGGCCCATCTCTCTCAATCCCGATTGGCCAGACCCAAGCAGCAAGCTGTCCTACCAGTTGGAGCATCTTCCCTCTGGTGGTGAGTGTACATCATAGTGAGCAATTGAGTAGCCTTAGCATATCATTAGCATATTAGGCTTTGATTGGTTGAATGGATGACTAGATGACCAGACACTTAGCATATTAGGCTTTTATTATATAAGATAGTGTATAGCAGATCATTATTTAGCAGTAAGTGCTACGGAGGAGGAATAAAGCAGAGAAAGGGGATAAAAAAGTGTGTGGAGGTTGGAATAGGGAAAGGCTTGCAAAATTAGACATATGGCTAAAAAAGATATTGCTAAGAAGATGATTTCTGAGAAAAGACCTGAAGGTGTTGAGGGAACAAACCATGTGGAAATTTTTGAAAAAAGGCAATCTAGCCATAAGGTCTTAAGTGCAAAGGTTAAAGTAGGAGCATCCTTAGCTTATTGAAACAATGGTGAATAAATAAATGAGCAAGGAAGAGAGAAGAGAAGTACAGGACAGTCGTAAGGTGAGAGACAGGTGGTGGTGGAATGGATGGTTTTGTAAGGCCTTATGGCTTATAGCAAAGGCATTGTAAAGACTTGGCCTTTCACACTAGACTAGGGTGTCGAACTCAATCAGAGAAGGGGCCAAAATCTAAAATCCAGCCTAAATCACGGGCCGAATGGTTTACTGAACAGTCATAAACTGTCATTGTGATGGAAACGCAGCGGAGTGCAGTGATGACAGCGCGGTGCGGGCCACATTGCAAGGCCTGGCAGGACGGATTTGGCCTGCGGGCCTTGTGTTTGACACATGTGCACTAGACTGATTACGGGGCAGCATTAACTGCTCTTTGGGGTTAGTGGGCATGGATTTAATGCAGGGGTAGGGAACCTTTTTCTTCTGTGGGCCATTTGGATATTTATAATATCATTCACTTAATATAATTTACTTAATATAAATTTATGTTGCTATGCAAAAAAGCTCCTAGATTAATTGAATTTTAAGTTTTGCCTGTGGTTGCCTTGGCAATCTCAGACCAGATGATTTTGCAGGACAATATGGCCCAGGGGTCAGATGTTCCCCACCCTGATTTAATGTGAGGCCAGACAACCAGCATGGTCCAGTATTTCCCTCCGACCACATTGCTGGCAGGGAACAGACCATGAAATGGCTTGATAGATAACTAACATGCTAGTAGTTTTCAGGCAAGTAATATTTCTTTGTACTTTTCTCATTTCTCAGGTGGTTAAGTGGTTTTAATTGGGAGGGATTAAAAGCACGGAACCTTCCATCACCTTTACGAAGAGAGGTATGGTATCCACTGTATTGTTCTCATAATTTTTTGTAGGAATTTGATTTTGTAAACAAATTTTAGGTGCATGTGTTTAACAGATTTTAGATTTTTTAAATATTTTTTAAAATTTAAGTTGAAATGTAACTGTTGTGATTGAGGGACTAGCTAGTATTTCTTATTTAATGAACATTATCTCAGCTCTCAGGAATCAATTGCATATAAACCCAAGTTATCAGTGTTAGACTGACAGATGGCTCTAGAAATAAAGTATGAATCATATAAGTAATTTGAAATCTTTGAATAGCCACATTAAAAGAGGTAAAAATAAATAAGTTACATTAATTTTAATTAATATTTAAATTATTATCACTTTAATGTATAATCAACATAAACTATCAATGAGATGTTACAGTTTTTTTTTTTTTCATACTAAGTTTTTGTAATCCCAAGTGTATTTTACACTTTCAACACATGTCAATTCAGACTAGCTATATTTCAAGTGCTCAGTCACTACCGGTGACTGGTTGGACAGCTTAGCTCTAGAAAAAGCAGGACATTTGCTAACTTGGGGGGAACACTGCCTCAAAAATGACCTGGATTAGCACCCTACAAACGGTGTTCTCTCTGGGGAATTTTGGAGATCTATGTCTCCCCTTGTGTATTTTTAGATTGACATCTGAATTTTGTATTGTATATTTAAATTATTATGGAGAATATAATTTTTAGTATGTTGAAAACATTGACATTTTAAAATATAGCTCTACTGTCACTGTATCCCTTTAAATATATCTACTATATCATTGAGATTTGATACCAGTCATTACAAAATACAGACAGAAATATTATTCTCTCTGAATTCATATTTCCACATTTCCATTTAAGTTTCCTTTCAAAATTTTATTCTAAGGTAAAATAGTTTTATGCTTGGCAACCTTTAATCAATCATTTTTTTTAATGACTTTCCATTATAGTTTTATAAATTTTAAAGTTCCTGTGAGCACCAAAATTTCTGTAACAACACAGATATTTCTTCTGGATTCTGTTATTACATTTTTATAGCATGCAGTATCAAACAACACAAATATATTATGAAAATTAAAATGATTACTAACCTATTTTGATAAAGAAAATATTTAATGTGCCTATGGATATATTTTATTTATTTAAAAAATGGACTCAGACTCCACATCAATTTTATTCCTTTTTACAACTATGTAGATGCAAGTGTTAAGAATTGTGTTCCCATAAATGCATGACACCCTCTCCAAAGCACATTATGCTCTATTATAAATAGTATTTTTAATGCTCTATCAGCTGATAATTCAATTAGGTTCTTACATTTGTTAGAAAGCAAAGAATTGGAAACCACCTAATTTGCAAAAAAAAAGCCATTTCATTTTTTCAATGGGATCAATAATATTTTAATTGTTTCTTTGTTTGGCATTCTGGAAATGTTTTATGGTCAGTTAACCATATAAAAATTCAAAGTTGATGAGAATCTAAAAAGTAGAAAGATTTTGATTTTTTTAAAGTCTCTGATTTTAAAATATTTTTTATTTTGGAAAAAAAATAGACATCATTTCTGTCACTTTTTCTGTTGGTAATAACTCATCAGGACAGTTAGCTTCCATTGAATGTGTAGTCCAGTGAGCAGATCCATTTGGTGCAAAGGGGAGATCTCAAGACTGAGATCTTACATGTAGCTTACCAGTAGTTGCAGTTTAAAATCTGTATTCAGGTATGAAAGCACGATCCATATGTAAATGTATACTTAGTCAACATCACCCTCATCTTTGCTCTAATCCTTTCTCCTTTAGCTCAGTGGACCCACCGATCACAGCTACTTTGACAAGTATCCACCTGAAAAGGGAGTGCCTCCAGATGAGCTGTCGGGCTGGGATAAAGACTTCTGAAAGAAAAACAAAGAAAAACAAAAAACAAATGATTACTGCCTATCTACTAAGAAGAGAACTATAAGCACCAACAATCCAATGCTGATTATTTTTCTCTTTGGGGTATTATATCTTTTGGAAGACCATGGGAGAACAGAAATCCCTGCCCACCTTAGGGATTGTGGGTGAATGCTAGTGGGTATGGAGGTGGTTCTGAATTATAATGTCTTATTTAGATGCTGTGAATTGATCATGTATTCTATTCTTTGCTTTTCTCAAATGTTGTAGACTATCCTGTTCTCTCCACAGTCAGAACCATTTTTGTTGAAGGGGCATAGTGTTCTCTGCAATCTATTGCTACATCATGATCCATACTCATCTCCTTTGAGTCCTAATAAGGTTTAAAAAGTGTCTTGCCTTTGAGCAAGTAAGGCATCCAAATAGCATCAAGAACAAGGGTGAATTTTGGAAGATTTCCCCTGCTCTCAACAGGTCCATGTAAGCATTATGACATCTTAAAGTGGCAGTTTATAGGAATCTTGGTAGTCAAAAAAGGCTCTTGACTTCTACTTGTGTTCAACCTAGAAATGTATCAAGGTGCTTCTGATATTAGTCTAGGGAAAAGCAAGTTTGAGTATTTAGTCAGTGGTATTGCACCCTAAAATAAGTGAGTTAATTAATCCAACAAGGTAATTATATTTCATTAGGGAAACTTAGAAAAAAAAAAGCCAAAAATATTTTTCATTCTCCTGTGACCAGCTGTGATACCTCAGAGACTTTTCAAAACCTTGTTAAAGCTGGTTTTAATGTGCAGTTAAGTGATGGATTTTTGGAAATGTTTTTATCTTACAGTCTAAGGTTGGTGTTTGTTTTGTGTTTTTTTTTAATAATCAAAGTAGAAATCATGCAGGAAAAAAGGCTTTTCCTTCCCATTAAATATGGAGGAGAATAAAGTCTGATAGGTAAGGTTGCTGACTCTTTGAAACTCTGAGATATTTTAGGCAGTTCTATGATTGTTGCTATTAATAAACCAAGAGTATAGACTAACCAGAGTTAATTTTTAATGAAGATGCCATTAGTAAATGTTGATGCACTGTAATCATTGCTGTGTTAACTCTTTGTAAAGACGTCTGAGTCATGATGTGTTTATAATTTTAGATTATTAAGGCAGGCAGGCTGCTGAGGAAGTGATGGGAATGTAAAAGCAGGAGCGTAATCTAGTTTCTGCCCTCCTCTTGCCTCCTCCATGCAGTCTTCCAAATAGTAGTTTCAATAGCATTAGACACCAGTACCTAAGTTTTTCACTAGTAAAAGTGTCTTTGTATCAACTATAATCACTTCCTCACCTTCCTTCCAAAATGGATAGGAAGCAGACTGTCTCTGCATCTTTTTGATCTGGCAGAGCAAAAATATGGGCTAAGTTATTGCATTATTCAAGCTTCTGATTGTATTTTTATATGCAAATGTCCTAAGGAAAAAGCAGCCTCTACCCACATCCCACCCATATTTTCTTCATTCAAAGAAAGTCAGCTACATGCTTCCTGAAGAAATAAACCAGATAAGAGAGGTCCAATCCAGGAAGGTGCATTCTTAATAAATTGAATTTCCACATTTAGAACACTTTTGCTGAACCAAAGAAGTTTTGTTTCCTGGAATAGTATTTTTAAAAACTATGTATTGTACATAGAAAAACCATTTTTAATAGGATTGACATAACCTGCTTAAATAAATTTCTAAGATTTTTAAAAGATTTTTATTTGCATTTGGTTTGTAAGTACTGTATGTTTTACTGTGTATATATTTTTAAATTACCCACCTAAATGTAGGTAATTTATGTAATGGGTGGATATTAAAGTTGTACAGTTATAATAGCAATGATATTCTCAAAGGAGATAAAAAGTTGTAATTCAATAAAGACCCACATATATACAAATAAAAACCGACTTAGACTACTACAAGTATTTTTCTTGTGACTGGGCATGTCAATATGTAATATTCATGTGTGATTTTATCGTGTTTTAGAAAGATGAAGAAATGAGAGATTGAACCATCATATAATCCCAATTCCACTGTTTCCTAGCTGGCCATCCTTGGGGGGAAATGACTTCATTTCTTTGAGTATTAGCTTTCTAACCTGTAGAAAAAGGCACAGTAAAATAATACCTACACTTGAGACTTGTTTGGGGATTAAATAAAATATCTAGAGAGTGTTTGCTGACACATATGAAATAATCAATGCTACATAGATGGGAGCTACTGATACTATTTACTATCTCTAATAGAATTAAAAGGGTCTTAATCATTTAGTCCTGGACCTTAGATATCATATTTATCTTGGTACGAAATTATATTAATTAAATTCAATATCACCCTTTTCTTTTTCCTTTAAAGCATGAAGTAAAGGTGGATGATCAAACATGAAGAGTTAACTTTTACTCAAATGAAGTGCTTAATTAAGGGCTTGCTAAATATTTAAGTTTTATTTGTTTATGAATTAAGGATATATATTTCTTTTTTTTTTCTCCTTAGGACGTTCAGAAAATGATCCTTCTATATACAACTCATTATATTCCTAATGGTTAAATCACTCTTAATCTCTCTTTTCTAGGTGCAAAGTTAATTTTTTATTCTTAAGCTTCTCCTCTGTACGGTCAGTTTTTCATAATTTTTTCTAAATTTAAAATGTCTAGAGGGAGGAGAATGTAGTGGTGAAAAGTAAGAGATCTGGTATCAAAAAAACCTAAGTTTGAATTCTAGCTTTATTCAGACTTTGAAAAGCAAACCATATCTTTAATCATCTGTAACTTGAAGATGTACATGGAAAGCTTTGAAACATTGGCCAGCATCTGCGTACTTATAGGTCATTAAAAATAACCATTTAGAAATAAATATATTTAATTTTGGCATAATAATAAATCCATGTATTTTATTGCCAGGCATTGTACAAAGAATATTATCTATTATCTCATTTGCATAAAACTCTAAAATAATTATAAACACACTGACTATTGACTACTCCCAAAGCTAAAAATAGACCTCAAATATGCATTTTATTCACACGTGAGCTGTGATGCTTTTACGTGGCTCCATTCCAGTCACTATGGCTATGTAGCAAATTACCCCACATCTTAGTCACCTAGAACAATTATTTAATTATTATTCTAGATTCTCTGGGGCAGAAATTTGGACAGCACATGGTAAGGGTGGGTTATCTCTGTGCCAGAGCAATAGGGTAGAAATTACTCAAAGAGTAAGCTGATGGCTGGGAACTAAAATCATGTGAAGGATTGTTTACCTATATATCTGGGACCCAGGCTGGGACTAGTCAAAGCCTAGAACAGCTGACCAGGGTGCCTAAACAAATTCTCTCTATGGCTAACGTTCCTCACAGCATGCTGTCCTTAAATTAGACTCCTTTTGTGGTAGCTTAGAGCTCCAAGAGCCAAGTATTCAAACCATAAAAGGAAGAAGCTGTATTATCATTTATGACTCAATCTTGGAGTCGCCTAACATCACATCTGTCATATTCTGTTGTGGAAACACAAGCCCTCCTCCCCCCTCCAGGTTTAAGGGAAGGGAACAGAGACTCCACTTGTTAATGAGGAGAATTTCAAAGAATTAGCAAGCAAGCCCCAATTTCCGGCCACCAATTATTTGTATTACTGCCATATGCAAAATAAATTCATTTCTCCCATAGAGCCTCCTTAAAAATATATCATTATACATCAGGGTCCAGGAACTTGTCATATAAGCCCATTCAGGTGTGGATGAGGCTTCAAAGGTATAATTCCCTGAGTACATTCTTTTAGACCTGAAAGGCTTCGAACTAGGTAAAGTCATCTAACTTCACACAACAGTGAATGGGGAGGCAATCAAAGGATAGCCACAACAAATCCTTGCATTTGTGAAGGGGAAGATGAGAGGCACAAAGTGGTCATTGGTCCATAGAATTCTAAAATTTGGTCTGATACATGTTACCATTTCTCAGTCATATGCCTTGTGAATTATTCTCTAAAGCTCTGAACTCCACCTTGTAGAATATTGGTTCTGCCCTCTGGGTCATCGTTACTTTTTAAAAAAATAAGATATATAGGTGGTATTTATAATTGAATAGACCTCTTAGTCTGTTTTTTGCTTGTAAATATTTGGTAGTAGAGATGCCTTTTCTAATTCTATCCCTTATTCCAAGCTGATACATTTTCTTTAAAAACTTTGTGAGTTTCCTGGGTATGAATTCATGATTTACTTCATTAATAAAAAACAATACTCACAAATCTTTTCTGTGAAGATGCTGTGGGAAAAACAATTATTAGTTGCCTTATTTTTTTTTTAAAGGATATCCATAGCACATGCTTAAGGTACTCAAGAAGGGCTTTGCCTGTTTGAAAGGATGTGATAAGCTTCCATGATCCCTGCTTATGGTATTCATGTCCTTTTATAATCTCTTCTCCTTGAGTGTTGACTGAACCTAATGACTACCCTCGAAGAAACCTATTATAATAAAAGCATAATATGCTAATTAGACTGGACAGCCGAGGCAGAGGTAGTTAGGGGTGATCAGGCTGGCAAGTGAGCAGTTAGGAGTGATCAGGTAGGTAGAGTGGTTAGGGGCAATCAGGTAGGCAGGCAGGCAGAGTGATTAGGGGCATCAGGCAGGCAGGGAAAGTAGTTAGGGGCAATCAGGCAGGCAGGCAGAGTATTTAGGGACAATCAGGCAGGCAGGCAGGCAAGCTGTTAAGAGCCATCAGTCCCAGACTGCAAGAGGGTGCAGGCCAGGCTGAGGGACACCTCCCACCTATGCACAAATTTTGTGCACCAGGCCTCTAGTGGAACATAAAAATGAACTGATATCACTGCTGAAACTAGGTTCTGTCCTACTGCTTCTGTCCTACTTACCCTCTCTTGGTCTCTCATTTGCTTGCTCTGATGGAAGCCAGTTGCCATCATGTGACTTTCCTATGGAGAGGCCCATGTGGCAAATATCTGAGGGAACCTCTGGCCGACAGCCAGTGAGGAACTGAGGCCCTCTGTCACATAACACATGATGAGCTGAATCCTGCCAACAACCAAAGGAGGGAGTTTCAATCCTCCACCAGGTGGGCCTCCAGATAAAACTGGAGCCCTGGTCAACACCTTGTGAGAGGCCATGAGCCAGAGGAGCCAGATAAACAACTTCCAAGCTCCTGACTCACAAAAACTGTGAGATAATAAATCTTTGTTGTCACCCAGTTGGGAAGGAAAGGCAGACATGAAGTGGGGGAAGCAAGGGTCAAGTGGACACAAGAGGACAAACTGGAATTCTTGAAGAAAATCACGTTTGTTATGGCAAACCAGAACCCATGAGGACAAACTGGAGCATAGGTCTACCTACCTTAGTTTCCAACCTTGGCCAGATGGGCAGCTTGCGGAATAAGTTCGCACCTTTCACATATTCCTAGCTTCGGATTTGTAGATGCTGAAAGAGCAATCTGGCTGGAGCTGGAGGAACCGCAGACCCGGCTGCTGCCCTTCACCAGCAAGATGAGCCAGCAGATCAGCAACCACATTCATGAGCTGTAATAGTGCTTGGTCTTTCACTTGACCTCCAGAGTATAATTATGGCTGCTCCTCTCTTCTGCATTTCAGGTCAAACTTCTGTGTAGCAAAGCCGAACTCAGAACCATACAGAGAAGGAAATTCTAGAGACTTATTTCTGGCTTAGCTAAGTTGGCACAGTACAAAGTCACTCA